ACTGTCATTAGCAAATAACTCTTTCACATTATGACAGAAAAATTTAAGAATAGACTCCACAAAATCAGCAACATCTATGATGTAATTTTCAAGGACATCGAATCATCATAAAATATCTCTTACAAACCGACTCTTTTTAAGATCTTCCAATGTTTGCAAAGAAAACATTTCTGTTTAGTCGATATCTCAAGGTTCGAAAAAAAAAATGATATATACAATTTAGAATCGTACTCAATTTTGCAATCATTTACAGCAGCTTTTTAATGTTTCTATGTATGGACACTGTTACATGTTGTTAACAATGAGAAAAGTCAATTTTTTCAACAAGTTAAATATGTTCAAAAGTAACAAAATAAAGGCATTTTCTAGTCTAAAAATCTCTCAATTCAACACACCCAAGAATTTTTCAAAAATGCTTTGAATTAGCAGAATTCTCAAATAGTTATGAATGAAGTGAAAATTTTCGAGTGTTTCGATTCTATGAAGTCACGTCATTCAACAATGAAATTGCTCACAACTATCATACTTATGTATGCTTATGCTTGTTTGCATTTATTATTTTTAAAGGCATATCTGCAAATAATTTTTACAAAGAACTATATCAAATATCTGCTTGAACATTTTCCACTCATCTACATAGTAATTTTTTGTTTATGTAGTTACTTTTTCCGACATAAAATCAATCAACTGATCAAATTGAGCGTTAGTTTCAAATCATTTAGAATATAATATTAAAATTGGCCAAATACATCTATTATTTAGAATTAGTTCTGCTTATGTATTTTAGTGTTCATAGTTGATCATACACTATACAAAAAAAAATGAACGAATATTGTTGTTTAGATTTCATCTTTGTGAATGAAAAGAAACATTTGAAAAATGTTTACACGAATTTAGATTTGTTTTATAGTGAAAATATTGTAGAACAATACAATTTCTCGTTGACAATGATGAAATACAAGATTCTTAGTTGTAATATTTTCAAATATTTTTCAATTCGTTGATGATTAATTTTGAGCAAAATCAAAACACATCATTTTTAGTATTCCTATTCTTNTAATCAGTAAAGACTTTTATAGAAATAGCAAATAAAAATATCTGATTTACAGATCTTAAATCATGTCAAAATAATAAACGTGAAAATATATTGCATAAAAACTGACCGGGACCAATATGAAAATTTTTTAGTCCCGGTCCCGGCGGGACCACTTTGCAGTTCCCTATTTGAAATTTGCATAAACAACAGATAAATAATTAAGAAAATATGTGTTTTTTCATGTTGATTACAAATCATCATAAAACTATATAGAAATTTATTTTAAAGAACAAATTCTCAATTACTTGAAACAAGATTTTCTTGTTTAAATATAGTATATATATTCTTCATTGCGCAAAATATAATAAATTTGATGTTAATGTCGAAAAATCAATTAAAAACAACATGTAGTGCTAGTCTCATATTAAGTCATTCACTTGTTTATCAAAAATAAATAATAATATGAACGAAATGAAAATTTCTGTTATGTATCCATTTTTTATTATTATTAAAATAAGAGTTGTATTATCAGATAATTATTTGCAACAGCGAATGTTGTTCTTTCTAAACACTTTTCTTTTCTCACTCAAAGTTAGTTTATTGACAGAAAAAATTTGACAAAGACCAAATACAACATCTGAACACAATTTTTCATTTAGTTTATATTAGTATTTGTTAAGCTTTCTTTATTAATATTCCAAAACTATTAAAAAAATTTCCATGCGTTTTCTTCAGACTATTTCTTTTTTTTTTTTCATTGTACATTTTATATTTGATCAAGTATAATACGAATATATTTATATTTATATGACAATTGACTTTGATCATCGAATTGCACAATACAAAAAAAAAAAAAAACCAAACAAGCACAAAATAAGATAAGAATATATATATATATATGTATCATTATTAAAAACTGAATAATATATGATATAGAAATCATATTCCATATATAATTTTTTAAATCTGCTCTATTATACGATAAATATTATATTAGATACGTCGATAGAAATAAAGAACCATGAAAGTTGCTATCATTCCACTGAGAAAAATGCCAATTGTTGTTAAACGTGATTGAGGTACTGCATCACGTAATACAACCAACTAAATTGTCCAAAAAAAACAAGAATGAATATATGGATGGAAAACTAAACAAAAGAAAAACTTACCCAACCACCTTTGCAAACAATCCATGGAGCAACAATTTCTTTTACAAAACGTACAGTCCATTCAACAAGAACATGTAAGATTGATGATGGTTGATCTCTAAGTGACTATAAGGAAAAAATATACAAGACAAATATTTTATTTTGTTTTTCTTCTTATAATAAATACATACTTTCAAGATAAGTTTATATGTAAAATAAAAAAGTGTTACAATTCTTCCCCAATTATAAATACCATCACAAAAAAGTTCTTTAGCAACATCGCTGAATGTTTCGTATGGACTATTGATAGGTACTTGATCAACCATACTACGTAGTAAAAGAAAAATTTATTATTAAATTTGTTTTGATTTTAGTAGTATAAAACAAAAGGATAGCAATAGAGGAAAGACGGAAATAAGGGTTAAAAAAAGCAAGCAAAGTTTCTATTCTAGCTTACCTATTAATCTGTTATTCTGAAATTAATTTTTATACAGAGAATATTTCTGATATATTGATAATAAAAACTATAAACTCATTTTATACCTTTTTATTCGTTGATCAGCGTCGAGTTCATCACCAATCATTCGTAATCGATGAGCAATTTGTTGAATTTGCCGATATTGTGGAACTATATTAATAACATCAAGTAAAATGTCTTCGAAATTATTATATAAATTCTTACGTGCAGAAAGATCAACATCAATTATAGGTTTAACTAAACCCATATCGACACCATCTTCTGTGGCTCGTTCAATAATGAATTCTTCTAATATATAACGAGTTTCTTCTGTTACATCTTCTACACTTTTCTTATACGGTGAATTATCATTGTAATCAGTTGCTATAATTTAGTAGATGAGTTTGGTTTAAGCCTTAGAATTTGAAAAAAAAAACATACGAATATACGGCACCGGTGCAAAACGCATTGAATAAAGATCAGTTGGATCTGATGAAACAACTTTTGTTCGAGTTGTTGAAGGCATTTTTAACTAGTGATTAAAATGGTTCCACACTTGTTCAACAATAAATCGAACTACTAACAATGATGTTTCACTACATAAGTGACAAATAATAACAATGTCATTGAAGATTATCCAATAGAAAGAAAGAATAGTTTATACATTCTCTCTTATAAAAGCTTTTTATTATTTGGAAATATATAAAAAAACAAGATTCAAAACTTTTTAGACGAGAATTGATCATGTATATGACATTATATAGATGTCGCTTCTTAACAAGGAACAATATTCATATTTCGCTTTATTTATTTTGTTAAACTCGAGCTCATTATTTGTAATGTCATTTTTCAATTAAATACTACATACTTTTGTTCTTCGATGAGAGGGCAATGAAATCAGATTGACATGACTTGAACTACAATTATTGATTACGAACACGTCTCTTTTTTGAATCAAGAAAGAATTCGAACTAATCTCATTTAGAGTTGATACTATAATACAGAGTATAGTAAAAGTTATGATCACTGTATGAATTCATATAATTATATTACTGATCAAGTTAAATCCCGAACTTTCTTTATTTCAAATGAGAGTTAGCAATTTGTTTTAAGAACCAAACTCACAAACACTAGAAAAGATAGTCCATTGAGTACAACACAAAATTAGTCTTTTTTTTCTATACCGAAAACCAAATGTGCTGTTTTCTTCGACATAAACTCTATTTTTTTTATTAATATTTAACTCATATCATCTAGATCTTTCATAATTGCGTTGCAATCGTTTGTTTGACTTGTTTGAAAACAGACGAATTCTGTGTGCATTCCTTCAAAGCAGTTCATTTATAGTTGTTCAAAAGCTTTGATGACTATGAAAACGACTAACGAGGGAGGTACCCGAAGTGATTAATCGGTTTTGAGTTCAAACTCTGTGCACAAGGTAGACCCCAGTAAGGTGCGAAAAAATTCAAACGGATAAGGGCCCATAGGCCTTTCCTCCAGAGTTATAGTCATTTTANAAAAAAAAACACGTGTAGATGATTTTATGCACTATTGCTACCAGCTAGAGTTGCACTAAAAATGTTTTTGTCGGAATTTTATTACTATGATCTTAGTTAGATACTGATCAAATAGCATAGAAAGATAGAGCGAAAGACGCTCTATCTATTCGTAAAAAAAGAAATTTCGTTTTAGCTATTTATAAGAAAAAGAAGAACCTGGCTCACTACTTTTGGATAACCCTAAGTATATCCAAATATACAAGTCTTTTTGTCGTTTTTTTGTTAAAATTCAAACATCAGTTAAACTCCTATGTTTTCTGAGAAAATTTTATGTACATTCAGCAACGGAACAAATTTTAATATCATTTATCATAATCAAAAATTATTAACATCATTTTCTGAAGATGATCGCTAAAAGATCGAAAATTTAAAAAAAAATATACATTATATGATTCAAATTAATTTATATTATTACATTTTCTGTTTTTTCTTGTGAACCATAAAAAATGATTCATATCAAAAGTTTTTGATTATTATAAATGAATATTGTTGCTGAATATATATGAAATTTTCTTATATACAAAAATTCATGTTAAAAATAAAATTGTCGTTTGTCTTATGTTTTCTAACACTAAAATGATATTCTTGAATTTCTTTTTTCCATTCTTCTCTATCATCTGTTACAACATCAAAGATTTTTGCCTCAAGTCAAATGAACATATATATTTAAAAGTTTATTTTATTCTCTGAGTACACTATATGCATTTGCTATCACAAGGCTCAATAGAACACACATTAATTTTTTTGTTCATTATTGAAAAGAAATATGAAGAAATTTCTTTAGTTTTCTTCCTAACGTTCTATGAAACGAGATGTAATCGTCTTTGTATTGAGTTTTTATATCGTGCATAAGCCTTCCAAAATTCTTCTTTGTATGATTTTGATGGAAGAACAAACACAACGAAAGTAAGCATAGATGGTATGAATGAAATAAAATATCCAATCAAAAATAACCATGGATCATTAATTGACTTCATACAACTTGACATGAGAGAAATGATCAAACGTGGAATAGCTAAAATGACCAAAACAATTGAACTAATTATTAGATGATTGTGTGCTGCAAATTGTTTATATAAGATTTTTCGATAACTTTTATGAGTTTGAATGGCTGTTCGCTGTCGAGCAGTCATAACAATAATAAGCAAACTTGAAATCAAATTAATAATAAATGGAGTCAAAAAATGAAATATATTCATCGCTGTATTAAATGTTTGAAGACTAGATGAATAAGACACAATACACCAAATTCTTTTTTCGCTATTATCATCATCATGAATCAAATGTCGATGAATAGGATCCTGAATAGTAGTACTAATATTTAAAATAAGAAGAATAAGAATCATATATTTAGCCATTTGTTTACTCTTCTTCTTATCAAAACTGACTCCTTTTATTGCAGTAACGGTTCGTTCTACGGCTATACATGCAGATAACCATTGATCCATATTAAGACCAATTCGTAGCAAAAAATCTATTGAAATACATTGTAATTGTAGGAATAAACGATTCGCAATATATGTCATTTGTGCAATGATAAGTATCGAAAATTTCAATGCAAACATAATCATTGTAAATAGACTAATAATCGATGTACTTATTAGATAAATACCACAACCAATGTTACGTGATTTATTGTTATTAATTGCAATCATCAATAGAGTATTATTGATCAATCCTGCTACAGTCATAATGATCGTCAATACTAAACTTATTTTTACAACACGAGATTGATGTCTGATGATAATATATGGTTGAACGTGATAACCTAAAATTCCATCAAGTGAAAGACCAAATGCATTTGAACTAAATTGGCAGAGTCTTCCATAAAAACATGTCAGACAAACACATGTCGAGGTTTGTGGACATGCAAATGTATCTTGTAAGCATTGTGCTCCATTTTCACAAGCACTTTGACCAAAACAATCGAATTTCTTTGTATAATTAAATTCAAAACAATTGGCTAACCGTTGTTCTCCATAATTGTTACATAAACAAAAATGATTATCATCATAAAAACAAGACAATTGTGGTGAATATCTTTGACATGGTAAATGATAATATTTAATACGACGAAGAAGATGAAATTTAACAATTGTCTCATTCAATACTTCATTTATATATGGACAACGATCTGATGGTTGAATTTCTCGAATAATGGTTGTCGATTGATGGTATATCTTTTGAACAGTAATTAAATAGTAGTTGTTATTGAAAAGTTGAACAAAAGCAATGTGAAATGGATATGACCAATTAATCATCACTGTGTTTTGATAAATAGGAATCATTTTGAAAGTACTGCCGTTTGTAGGTGAAGCACCATCAATCACTTGAATGAAATGAATAAGTAATGAGTCTGGTAAAATGATATCTTGATGGAATGATACAATGATTTTATTATCAGCTATTTCACATCTGTCTCCAGTGAAACCTTTTTGACAGATACATTTAAATTTCTTATTAGATGCTACATGATTATCAGTAGGTATACATTGACCACCATTGTAACATGTGGTATTTTGATTTGAGTTACATATTGTACTTTGAAATAAACATTGAGAACCCCACTTATTCATAGGACAAACACATAAAGATCGGTTGTTCGCTAAGATACCAATACATAATGAGTCAGACGAGCATGTGCAATTATGAGAGATAGTACAATATCGTCCAGACCATCCTCGATAACATTGACAAAAACTAATATCTTTTGGATTGTTTGAATACTTAATACATCGACCATGAGCACATTGTTGATTTGAGCAACTTTTCACGTCATCAGTTGTGCGTGGAATGTTGAGTTGTACAGCAACACGATGTACAGGTAAAAAGGGAAATTTAAGTGGTATTAAAAAACTTCTTCGATATGCGAGTGATACTTTTTCATAGATATCAATATGTATTGAATAATGTTTTTTTTGATCTTTTGGTCGAGTTAAGTATAGTAAATACATGTTGAATTTAGTTTTACAATCTTGTACGTACAAATAACTAAATTGTTGATGTGAATGAATGATTCCTTCATCACTATTATCAATGAGTGAGACAACAACAGCAAATAGAGTTTGTCGAGAATCCGAATATGCTTGAAATTGCAAAGTGAGACTAATTCGTTGATTTTGATATTGACACATATTTCCATAAAAACTAGATGGACAAAGACATGTTTCCGTCGTTAAGTTTTTTTCATAATCTAGCCAAACTCTAAGAACAAGACCACGATGACAACGTTGTTGATGTTGAAGAGCGATTTGTTGAGTAATAGATGAATTTGAATTTATTGTTGTTGTGTTTTGTTTCATTGTTTGTTCGATTGAGCGGTTAATTCTATCCAATGAAAAATATGTTGAAATGGATGATCTACTAAAATCGATTTTACGTTCACAAAAAAAATTTGCAATATCAGAACGAACACCTGTATATTTGTCATTGCATATAGCAAAATAATCAATATTGTCCATAGTATTGTCACAAATTTTATCATAATCTTTGTAATTGCATTCTCTATAGAAACATAAACGTATATAAGAGGTACAATATCCATGTTCACCAATGGTGCAATGAATGTTAACACCGCTGAGTTCATGATTATTTGATCGACACAGTTGTGGCTCATCAGTGGCACCAAGGCAATCAATATTACCATCATTGGCTTTTGTAAGAGGCAAACACATGAATTGATATGTGTCAGGTGAGACACAAATGTGATGATGAAGCGGACATTTCAATATTGGTGATCGATCACAATCTACTTCATCTGCTCCATTGAAACAATTCCAAAATCCATCACATCGAGTATAAGTGTTATTACACTGCCAATATTCGCATTCGGTTTCATCGGTTTCATTTCGTCCATCAATAGTAACAGGTAATAGTTCTATAAAACCATCACAAATTGTTTGAAATGATATATGTTTTCTGATATAGTGAAGATTTAAACTTTCATCATCACAAACACCATATTCATTATCTCCACAATCACACCGACCATCTTCAATCGCTGTCAAAGGAATACAAAGATCTCTTGTAGTACATTTGAAATAGTTTTTCGATCCATATGTCGAACAAGAATTATTAATTGAAGAACATTGTTCGTCATCTTTATAATCGCAATCGTTTATACCATCACAAAGGCGATGCTTGACAATACATTTTGAGGAATTGAGGCATCTGTACATGATTGAACTGTTACAATTTACAGAACCACTGTGGACAACTGTGTTGCATGAATAAAGCTGTTTATACAGAGGTAAGACATACATACTGTTCCAGTTGCCTCTGGTAGGACCCAACGAGTTAAAAGTTAATGGAAAATCTGTCGGACGGCTACATGTATCATTATTGAATGACAATAACGTTCGGTTCAAATGGAATCCACCGCAAAGTTGGTCATTGTAGCAGACATACTGAGGTGGTGGTACTCTCACATAAGATCTTAATATATTTTCTTTTGTATATAGAAAGTATATATGTCCAAAAGCGACTGGACCAGCTGGCACGTATAGCATATCGGGACATGCCTTGTTAATTATTTCTGTCCACGTTTCATTGAAAAAAAGATCAGAGCATCTTAGATCTGATAATATATATTGAAAAGCCAACTGACACTTGACGGCTAACCAACAATCATTTGATACTGTGTTTAGTTTCTCAGAGAACAGGGACTGTTCTAGTAAATTGGTGCGATTCAACACACATGAACTTGTTAGCTTCATATTTAAGTTCGAATGATGATAACGTTTGGAACATGTAACATCTTCCTTTGCAAATGTAGGCTCACCGTTAATATTTATAAATAAGCGTTGCTCAGATGACGATTCGTCTGATCGATCAAGACATTCAAAAACATTAGGGTTATCATGAAAGAATGTTGTAGGTATGCATTGCCAATTTAGACATCGCTCTTCATTATCTTCACACTCATTTATTTCAATTTGCCAACAAGGTTCTTCGTCGACTCCATTTCGACAATCAATGATTCCATCACATATTTCACTCCAATCAAGACATGCAAGTATTGAACCACGATCGCATTGTAAATGAGTGTAGCACGTCAATGTTGTTGGTTCATATTTGTGTAGATAATATTGACGAATAATCTCGTTTAACGTTAAATGATGAGACTTGTAAGCATCCAATGAATATTGACATAATGGACCAAATCTAGGTGATGTACAATTATAGAACATATGTGTTGCCATTGATGATAATGATAAATTTGAAGTTAGAAGTAAATTTATATACAATTGATAACGTTCAACAACGTCCATTGGCGCCGACCAAAGATATAATTGTTCACTAGTAGTATTCAGCTGATAGAGTTCAGCAAAAGTAAAGTTTGGATCTTGAGTATTTTTTTGAATATTCCACTTTGATGGCCATTCACTCATACAATAGGAAATGATCTGATAAGGATCATTATCTTCTTCGATCCAAGCAGTCACATGAAGACAATCATGTTGCAGAACCATATTACTTTCATTATCATTTATCCAATCGGTAAGATCAAGATTAATTTGAGGAAACGCAATTATTCTATATAATACAGTGCAAAAGAAAACATAGCTGATGAACGACATCATCCAACTCTTTAGAGACTGAGCATTAGTGCAGTATTAAAAGTTCATTTTTTTCCTCTCCATCTTTCTATTTTTTTTAAACGTTGACTTACAATATATTTTTCTAACAAAGTTTATGGCAAATATGGAATAAAGTAATTTGTTCCTGCATTCTGTATTAGAGAGTGCAACATTATCTATTCTGTCACATGATTATACTAAATCAGGCCTAACATCTGCCATCAATTTGCCTGGAACTACATTAGAGATATGAATGCAATTAATGAAAACTTAACGACGCATTTATATTTTTGACTTTGCGTTAGTTACAAATACTTTGATAGATATTTTCAATGGATCGTTAATGTTGTCCTAGTCGACTCTTCTCTGCAGAGTCCTCAATAAGTCGCATGAAAAAATATGAAATCTCTCGGAAATCTCTACAGAGTCACGGAAACAATCTCCAGATACTCATTGATGGTTCCTTGAGAAATTCCTTTAGAAGCCACTCCACAAGAGAGATGACACCAATACAAAGCATGTGCTCAATTGATGTCAACGATTTCAATAAAACATTCCCTGTATATAGTCCTAAGTGAGATATGAAGACACTCAGGTGAAAAATGACGATGACCAATGCAGCACCCATTCATTGTATATTTCATCATTCTTCAAGAATAATGCTTTTAGCCACGAAATTTTGTAGGTATATACTACCATAGGTACTGTGCATACTGACAGATTCAAAACCATTTTTTTTGTCGTGTTAAGTGGCATAACGGATCTTCATAGGTCATGGGCACCCTCCCTCTATCTTTTGACCAGGATTTCGATCGTTTATGAGAAGCAATTTTCTAAATATTGACTTTTTGGCTTTGACCCAAACAAGTGATTGATACAATTTACAGGCCTAGACTTAATGATCTAAAAGTAAATTTTATTTTAACAAAGTTTTTTTCTCTTTATCTATTCTTGTATTCAACGAAGGCAATAGTTTGCTACATATCAGATTCTATTATCCGAGCAATCGATAAGCAAAACAAGCTGAGTTAGCGACAGAAGAACGCATCAAAATGTCCTAACGACTGTTCATAATCACTAATAATTGGAATTTTTATTATACCATTATTACAATTTTGTGAAACACGATCTGAAAGGAGTGTTGAAGTGTTTAGGGGTAGAAATTTGGAGAGCCCACCCAGCCCCCCAGACGCGGGCGGACCCCCCGTCCCGGCNAATACATTTTTTTTTGAAATATTTGAACAAGAATAGAGAATTCGATCCGACCAATGCTCTATACTATACATTGCTCTTCTGATGAATCTCCTTTTAAACATTGTGTTGTGGACTTATGTGTGAAAAATAAGGGTACAGAGCAAGATTCGTTTTACACACAGCTCACTTTGGAATAAGTTTATCATAGTGGTGACTGCTCAGTACGATTCAACTAACTCTGAGATAAGTCAAGGCGGTATATCTCTACTCTGGATAACCAGCGTGTAGTGTGCCACTATTCGAAGTGAGACAAAACTCATTAATGTCATTCCAATTAAGATCGAACGCTTCGGAGCTATTAAAACGCAGTGTTAATGTTGGCATATTGACTAGCCGACCGACAGCATCTAATTTCATGCTATCGTAACAGACCGATGTCGTTTCGAGTGAATGAAGTGAAAATATTTCGCTTTGAATGAAGACACGCATAACCAATGGATATCTAATCTGTATCGGAAAGATGTCTCGTGGTACCTTCCTTAGTTATATACTAGAGTCTTACCCATTCAAAATTTTCGTATATCTCAGGCATCAGATATCATTGTCCAGTCTATCCATTACCTAGAGTGTCAAATGCGATTATTCATCGACAAGATCTTTTCACTGAAAAGAATAAAGCGTGATTAGTATCTCATCAATGGACCTAGCTCTGATAGTATAGTGACAACAGTATAGGTTCCACTCCAATAAAATTGAACTTCTATCAGAAAATTGGATGCTTTTTGTTTCAGAGGCAACTCTGCGTACCACTCTATGTCAAGACGACAGGGTAAGCAGAAACTAATCAACAATATTGTCTTTCTCGTTCAAAAAATTTCACAGAGAGCTAAACCTCTGGAAAAACACGTTTTAGCGCTCCATCGATATTCCGGAATGTGAAGTTTTGACGTCCACTCAAAAAAAACAAGACTAACCACTTTCATCTCATTCAACGCATGAAAGTGTTTTAGAAAGCAACTTTTATGCCAATAAAATCAAAGAAAAAAACGTTCCCTTACTATTTCTTAGCATCGTTTGCACTTGAACTATATGCTTTACAGAGAACAATGCTCAGGTATGGTGAGAAAGTAATTCTTGGTATGCAACTTATTTTTTAAACGATTACTCGTTTTTTCACAAGTCTGACTGCGTAGGTTCTTTTTCCCATTGATGACACTATCATTATATGAACTGTTATTTGACTAGATTCACTCGAAGATTTTAGTTACTGTTCATGAACAAATGTTACTAAACTGAATTCAATAGTGAAATGTGATTTGAATATAATTTTTATCAACTTATTGTTCTCTGCGTTGAGTTGAATGCTTGTAAGAAGAAGATCGTTGAGTATCGAAAACATTTTTTTTTATAGAGACAAGTCAGTAAATGCTTTGGTAAATCATCTCTTGGGCCTTAAAAGAGAAAAAACATTGCTCCGTGGAATTGTGAGTTTTTTAATCATTCAAATCAGAAAATATCCATGTCACGCAAAACGCTGTGAGTCACGAATACATCGAAATCTTCAGTTGTAGGTGTAGGCACCTAGAAGAAACACACTCATACTCACGCCCACTAAAACTCACACAACTGAAACTATTATAGAACAATAAATTTATTTAGAGTAATACAACTAAACAAATTCGAAAATTCAGAAAGACCAATCGACTTGGTTTCACCTGTAGATCACTTTCTGATTTCTGGACTGGTCTGTGGATACTCTGAGCCAGATTTAGAAGAATTGTAGAAAGAAAAACCATCTTCAAAGCAATCTTTTATATTCACAAGTGTAGATTACTGCAGTTACAATTCTTAATCTTGCTAATGTAAACCCAATTGTTCAGTAGTTGGAATGTATAAAACTTTTTCATCTTAAAAAAAAAACAACTTTAATTCTTTTACAATTATTTTCTCTTATATGTGAACATTCGTGATCGTTCTGTGATTCATGAACTTTGCAAAAGAAAATATTAAAAAAGAAAGATATTTTACACACACACACGCGCGCATACATAATCGTTTGTAATATAGAACATATACTCATGAAACATTAAACACAAAATAAAAAAATACATAAGACTACTGTAGAACAAAAGGAAGAAAAACAAAGATGTATTTGTTGTTGTTATTTTTTTTTTTTCTTTCTTAGAATAACTCATTATAGTTCAGTTACTGGAACAGTAGGCTGCAATCCAGACGATGATGATGTTGATGAATATGATGTCATTGTTGATAACTTTCGATTTGGTTCCGTATTGTAATATCGATAGTGAATTGATGTAAGACTCTTACACCATGTAGTCGCATCTTGATCTGGATCAGTTAAATAATATGTTCGACCAGGCTAAAGATTAATATAAAGAACATAATTATTTTGTGAAACACGATCCAAAACAAATGTTGAAGTATACGAAGAGGAAATTGGGACTTTTCTTGTGTACTTGAACAAGTCAAGAATCAAGGTTTTAGTTATTTACTGACTATTCTCAGAAAAAAAGTTAACATACAGTTATTTCTTGTTGTATCGAATAGTTTTATGACAGGCATCTTAGTACAATGCCTCTCTCCCTTGCATCATAGACGCTGGTATACGATCAAAAACGGTATATTAATAATATCTCGTTATTATATATGAACTACTTCCTAATTGTATATTTTGAAGGATTAAATAAAAAGAAATATGTCCCAAAATAGATACAATAAAATAATCTCCATATGATTAGTAAGATCAGCTGTATCGTGTTTTACATTTTAATCCCAAAGGAATTGCACTAAGAGCTTGTTTTTTTTTAATATGATATTTACCACATGGATAAGAAATGTTTTCATATCTTTCTGTTCAATACGTAAATCAGCTGTCCTAAAAAATTCAAATAAAAAAAAAAAAGATTTAAACTGAAAAACAAAAATCAATTAGTTAATATACCATGATATTGTTCCTTTTAATTCCATTGCATCAGGATCAACATAAAAAATAGCAGGACCTTCAGTAATAAGAAACATACGTCGTTTAGCAAATAAACCCTTTAGGAATAAAAAAAAAAAAAAGAACAATTTGAAATAAAAATCATTAAGTAAAAGAAAATATGTTTACTTTTTTTTTATCTAAAATTCCTTGTTTAATAATTAGATTATTCTGAACAAATTTATGATAGATATTCTTTGAAGCTTGTTCGGATAATGATAGAGCATGATCAGGTAATTGTAATCTAAACGTATTAACTAGTAGAATTCATTTATGAAATTTTCATTGAATGAATAAAATTCATTTTTTGTTTTATTTTATAAAACAAACAAAAAAAGAAAAAATTACCTTCGAGCTGTAACAGGTGCATTATTATTATTATTAAAAGATCCATTTGAGGACGGAGAAGTATACGAGGATGATCTAGTACCTTGATCCGACAATGAATTTCGATTATCTGCTTCTTGTAGAGATGATCTTTCATTTAATAATGAAATATGCGATGAACGAGTAATAATTGATGTTACTTCGTCTGGAGCATCAGTAGCCATTCGTAAACCAATTAAACGAGCTTCAACACGATCATCAAAACCTGATGACATTATTTTAAGCTAAAATAATAAAGAATATGACAAATTTAAAAAAACAAAAGACAATAAAAATATCTTAAATAATAAAATTAAAAAAAGAGAAAAAAAAAATTATTTTAATAAATCATTTTCAAACATGATTTTTATCCATATTTGAATGTAACCAATACAAAAAATTCATGTTATTCAAAAAATAATGTCAACATTTGTAAATAGTATTTTGTCTATGTATAAAAGATTGAATTTCTTTTGCATTAATAATATGTTTATCAGAGGAATAAATAGTGAAAAATAATACTCATATACATTAAATGACTCAATCTACACAGTTATTATTTCATAGCAAGTTATAAGATAAGGACGAGTTAATAGAAAAAAAAAAATTATTTTTATTATAGAAATATATAATAAAAGATATGTATGAAATGATATACGCATTAGAAAAAAAAATGTTAACCAATCATCAAATAGTTGAATATACTGTTATTCTATGAATACTATGAAAACGCTTTCAAGTACTGGTCAAAATTAAAATAGTAACGTGTTTTTTTAATCTTTTTATACGATAGTAAACATTTAACTCAAATCTAAATAGTTGTTTGAATAACCAATGAAGTTGTCTATCAAATGCATTCTCGATTATAAGATGAAACTTATCTCAAAACTATCATATTTTGTTTTTCAGAAATCTTTTTCTTATAATCAACTTATGAAAATTCGATAGTGTATTCATTTGACAGAGAATTTCATTAGCTATTTAAACTACTCTTTCGATTTGAACTAGATACTTCGTATTGTAGCAAAAAAATCAAAAATATGTTAGTCTTATATTTTTTACCAGCATTTTTCGATCTATTTTTATTTGTTCGTAACTCACCGTTAGCTTAGTATTTCGAACAATGACTATAATAAAAAATTTAGCCTAATCAATGAACTGTCAAATACCAAAAAAACAAAAATACACACACTTAACCTCTCTAGAATCAAAGCTCATCCTATATTGAAAGGCCACGGCTTTTTCAAATCCTTCTCTTGAAATTCAGAATGTACCTAAAAAACATTGTTTTCTTACAGTAAAATATCATTAAATTAAAATTACTACTTTCTCTAGTAAAAAAAGTACTTCCCGAAGCAAAAAAAGAATCTAGTCTAGAATAGAAAGCTATGGCCGTTTAATTTGTAGTAAGATGTACATGCTTTATATTTTCTTATTTAAATATTTACTTCCTCATCACTAAGTTGTGGTCTTGAACTAAGTTTAATCTTCGCTTCAAGTGGTGATCGTTGATTTAATAAAACATCCCATTTTGTATCATAAGAAAATTCACTAAAGAATGGATGTTCTTTGAGTTTGTTCATACCACCTGTTTCTTCACTACCAAGTCGTTCATGTGGTTCAAGACGCTATATTCAAAAAAAGAAATAAAAATCTCAATAGTAAATATCATATAAAATAACATACGACAAGTTTTTGAATTAGATCACCAAGAAGTGTAGGAAAATCATCTGGTAATTTATAAGAAACACGTACAACAGCATTGTAAATATCATATTCATGACTAAACTAATTCAAATAGGTTTTTTTTTTGTAAAAAAAGAAACTACAGAATAATACTTACTGACCACGAAATAAATGTTTACCCGTAGCCATTTGATAAATAATACAACCTAATGACCACAAATCAGATCTAAACAACAACAACAAAAAAACGAATGATATAATCGATTATTATTTAATTTACGAACCCGAAATGAATAGCACCACGTTTAAGTATTTCTGGTGCTACAAATTGAGCAGTACCAACAAATGAATTTGTTCGTTTTAATAATTTTTTTTCTCCATCTACATTTTTCCTATTATCTGATTGAGAAACAGCTTTAAAAAAAAACAATAGACAACATATATGATCAATATTTATGTTCATTTCAATTTTATTTACATTCAATATTATCAATAATAACACCTGAACCAAAATCAGTTAATTGAATATGCATATCATCAGTTAAAAGTATATTTTCTGGCTAGAAAGAAATTATTTTTTCTATTGTAAAAAATAAATCAACAAAAACTAATAATATACTTTTAGATCACGATGAACTATATGTCGATTTTGTAATTGTTCAAGTGCTTCAACAAGTTCTGCAGTATAAAATCGTACAGTTTCTTCATTAAGATGACCAGCATCGATAATATATTGCAGAAGATCACCATTTGGACAATATGTAAGACCAAAATCTATGAAGCAAAAAAAAACATATATATTCTCTTCATTGTATTTGTGAACATTAATTAATTGTCCTCATTTATTTCTAATTAGAATCAAAGATGTGACCTTATCGTAGTACGTGACATAACGTTTTCCCATTTTGAAAAAAAACAACCCTAGATGTCTCTAGTGGCGCAAACATATAAATGTTTCTTTCGTTCTGTTTGCAAAAAAAGTCGGTCGAGTTTGAGTACGTTGGTTACTTTGAGTTAGTTCTGTCAGTACATGGTGTTTTATAAGTTTTGAATATGGACAAAAACTAATTTACATACAGACAGGATAATCTCTAACTAAGTGTATTGATATATAAGATGTCGATGTTTCAAATTTTTTTTTTTTTATTAAAATTAAAGAATACATTTGAAATTTGTCATAGGACACGATCAGTCAAACAATATTCTTAAAAACACTATGAAGAATACAAACTTTCCATTTTGCATGTAATCAACATATTATTAGAATCTATTAAATATTAAATCTTTTGTTTTTCTCAAATAAAAAAAAAATCTTATTGATCAACTTCAAAAAAAAAAAAATTGAAACATTATATTCTTTTATTAATCTTTTATACTGTCATATTATATTATATCATGTAAAACATTGACATGAAAGTACTCAAACATCTTGTAGACGTATTCAGTTAGGGATTAATATCCTGCCTGCATATTAATTAGTTTTCTGTCTAAGATCAGAACTTATGAAACATTGTATATATAGAAAAAATTTCTTCTTCTTAAAACGAATAAAAATAAATAACTTGAACATGTTTATTTTTAATTATCTTGATTACTCTTGAAGTATAAATATCCTTAGTATGATTTAATTTTTTTCTGCAATGAATTAAGAACCTATTATGTAGATTGTTGTTCAAATTAATGAAAAAGAACTCAGCCATATAATCAAATTAAAAAAGTTTTTTATTTAACATAATGATAAATATAGAAGCAAATTTTTCATGTCAAAAAAACAAATATTTTTTTTATGCATTTTAACTGATTGATTAAATACAAAATACTTACAAAGAGTTTTGTCGTCTTGAAATGTACAATAAAGTTTAACTGCATAGTTACAATCAGTAAGTCGTGCTAAAATATCTTTTTCTCGAAAGACTTGAGAAATTTTTTTTAATCTTGTTACTAAATCTTTACTAACAGCTTTAACTAAAAGAAAATAAATATAGACGAAATTTAAATCATCAGACATAAGAAAAAAAAACTCAAATTATACATACGTGCTAATTCACGATTTGTAACTGTTTCAATAGCAAGAAACACCTATATAAATAAAATAAGCTTTATTCTTTTTTTTTTTTATATCATTCTTACTGTTGAATATGATCCATTACCAATTTCTTTAATAAATTTAAAATCTTTTACTGTTTTCTTCGGTGTACGTGATGATGTTGCATTAGGTATTGTTGCCATTATTGTTGTGTTTCTCTATTAATCAAAGCAAAAGAGAGACGAAAAAAAAAAGAAACCCATCAACCACCATCACTATAATACAAACAGTATTTTTCTTATTGGTCTTTAAAACAACCAATAAAAAAACGCCAAAAAAAAAAGATATTTGAGGGTGTTTTTCTTTTTTTTACATGTGTGTGATTTCATTATTATTTCGTCAGTAAAAATCATGTCATTGGAGAAATTAATAACAGTATTACAATCAAATCTTCTTAATGCATATCATGAAGAATTTTCAAATGATGAACCAACTATATGTGTGTATTTGCACCTGATCGAGTGAATTTAATTGGTGAACATTCAGATTATAATTAATTTTTTTTTGTTTTTCCAATGGGTATATCAGTCGGTACAATGATTATGGGAAGAATATTAGATGATCAAGAAGATCTCAAAGAATCTAAATCATTTGAATTAGATTTAACACAACCAGTAATACCATTCGAATCACCTCAATGGGGAAATTACGTTGTTGGTGTCTTAGCTTTATTTTTAGAACGTATTAGAATAAATAAATAAAAATCATTTCATGCACTTATACCAACATTAGTACCTATTGGTAGTGGTCTTAGTTCATCAGCATCAATTGAAGTTGCTATGTGTACATTTCTTGAAATACTTTATCAAGATAAATATGCATATGATTAAAAATTATCTAAAATTGAAAAAGCTTTATTATGTTGTAAAGCTGAACAAACGTATGGAAATGTACCATGTGGAATTATGAATCAATATACATCATGTTTAGCTAAAGCTGATCATGTTATATTAATTGATTGTCAAAATAATACATCAAGATATGTTTTATTTAATGATAAAAATTTATGTATATTAGTAACAAATTCAAATGTCAAATATGATTTAGTCTCAGAAAAATTTGCTGAAAATGTTGGACAGTGTCAATATGCTGCTAAAATTTTAGGTAAAAATTTTATATTTTATATAAAAAGTAAAACAAGAAAAGAATATCGATTTAAAGTCATAAATGTTTTTTTTTTTCTTAAATCTTCTTCTCGAATATTTTTAAGTATATTTCAAAAACCGCACGAGTCAATGTGTATTTTTATTTATTTCGTCAGTTAACTTAACCTTAGGACAATCATTTAGTCAAAAAAGCACATGATACAAGGTCTAGGAAAAATAATGGATGAGTGTAAGGTGATCAATTGTCATGAAGTAATTTTATACTTTTTGTACCTAATGACTTCTTTTGCTTCCATAATTTCATTGATAACAGACTTGAAACAATTTTCAATATAATAGTTGTGATCTATAGTCTTGTCTTCATCTGTATTATGTATTTAAAATCGGATCCTTTGATTTAAAAAATATAGAAAACAAACTTTTTGGCTCAAATTTCCTTCGATGACAACTAGTCGTTAGTGATTTATCTTCATTAATCCAACTGGCGTTAGTTGACTTATCTATGCTAAATCCATGGCGAAACATACACAACAAATTCTAACTCGTTCTTGCTTTTATTTATCATTGGGTTGATAGAATATCCAAAGTGACGTGACTTTTCTCATCTGTAGACAATCGTGGATAATTTGTTCTATTGTACCATGAGAGAGACAAGTATCAGCTATAATATCATCATAAGTTGAATGTTGATCATTATTGATAACCAGTCGTACCAATGCAATACTTACATCTATAAGTTCGAAAATCGAGCGACTAGACCTTATCCATTCTTCAACATTAATAGTAATATCATTGAAGATAGAGAGATATACAGGGTTGCGCTCTATACACATATCTAATCGAAAGTTCAGCTACAGTTTTATATTAGTAGATTATCTTGTTTTTCTTTTTGTGAAAATTTTAAAAACCTTGTTGTTTTTTTTAGTGAGTTTCAAAATATTTTATACAAATGAATAGTTCTAACAAAAGAAGTTCTTTGAAATAAATATGTTACCAGAAAAGTGATAATTAGTTGTCATGTAGAATTGAATGCATATTTGATAGAAGTATGATGCCTATTTCAATTCTTCCCACAAACCTCAACTTGCAGACATATGATTCTATCATATGCAGCACCGCACAAGGAAGAGAGAATGACTTTCGCTAGTCAATAATAATTGAGTATTGTCATTTAAATCTATCGAAACGTAATGAAAAAACGAAAACTATATTCATTGTCGAATAGTACTTGCATTTGTCTTTCGAACATGATAATCCGATTGTCAAAAATATACTGTGTTTTTTTCTTAAGGTCATCAAACTTTACGCGATGTTGCATCAATTGATGAATTCAAACAAGCACGTGACAAAATGTCACCAGTTACATATCGACGTGCACATTATGTTATAACTGAAATGCAACGTACACAAGCTGGTGCACAAGCTTTAGAAAATAGAGATTATAATGAATTTAGTCATCTTATGTATGAAAGTCATGAATCATTGCGTAAATATTTTGAAGTATCCTGTGTTGAATTAGATCAACTTGTTGACTTAGCACGTTCAGTTGATGGTGTTTTTGGTTCACGTATGACTGGTGCTGGATTTGGTAACGATATTTTTTGTATTGATTATTCCTATTTAATTTATTTGTTTATTCATTCTAGGTAGTTGTACAGTAACATTAGTAAAAAAATCATCCATTGAAAAATGTATGAAAACAATTAACAATAATTATAAAGATAAAGCAAGTTTTTTATCAATTTGAACCAAGTGATGGCGCTTGTTTCATTGATTTAAAAAAATCGAACGATCAATAAGTATTTTATATGTATCGTTTTTTTTTCTATAATTTATTTTATATCAGTTATTTATATAAATCTTGCAGATATTTTTGTTTTGTTAAATTAATATTTCAGCAATGAAATAAAATTTTTTGTTTTAGATAAATAATTATGATTGACGATACATCAAAAACACCTCCATTAATATCAAGTTCAACTCCAACACCAACTCGATCAAATCCAATAAAAGATATTGATGTTTTTCGTAAACCATTACCACCAGCACCATTAGGCCAACAACCACCATCATCTCGTCATCAAAAACGTAAAATACTTGAAGAAGAAAAATTCGTTCAAGATTTAGGACATATTATTGAACGGGATTTTTTTCCTGATATTAAACGTTTACGAGCAAAAGAAAAATATTTAACTGCATTAGAAAAAAATGATGTTATGACATTAAGAGATCTCTACGCTAAATATAGTATACATCGTGGTCCAACTCCATCACCATCTATGATGGGTCATAGAGGTAAGATATAATTTAATTATGACATTTTATAAAAATACGATCGCAAAGAAGTGTTGAAGAAATGTGTGCTAAAATAAATAGAATAAAATAATCTTCTATGACTAGCAACAACAGTTATATTATGTTTTACATTTTAGCAGTGACGTATCCAGGATTTTTCAGTATGCTGAATCTTGACTGTTGAGCATGGGACCCAAATGAAACTCATAGAGGGTAATGTTGAGTCCAAATGATGGAATTTTATCAAAAAAAAATTTGCATCGGAGTTTGCGAAAAAAATTAGCAATTTCCTGATCCCCCCTCCTAGGATTTTTTTACTGTTAGTATTATCTTGGATTTTAGAATCTCATAGGAAGCTATACCGAATTTCATCGACAGATTTTAAATTTCGTCTAAAAATGTCCAACCGTTCAAGAGTTATGATGTTTTGAAATTTCGAAACAATTGTTTCCACATGTGGCAAAAATTCAAAAAGTTATAACTCTTGAACGATTACATATTTTTAGACGAAATTTGAAATTTGTCGATGAAATTGTGTATAGCTTCCTATGAAATTCTAAAAATTAAGATGCTACTAACAGCAAAAAATCCTAGGAGCGGGGATCAGGAAAATGCAAATTTTTTTCGCAAACTCCGAGTGAAAATTTTTTTTGATAAAATTTCATCATTTGGACCCTGCATCATCCTCCAAGAGTTTCATCTGGGTCCCACACTCGGAAGTCGAGATTCAGCATACTGAAATATCCTGGATACGTCACTGCATTTTAGTCTCACAAGAATTATCATAACAACCTTTGTTTTTTTAAATAATTTATTTATCTTTAGATACACCAACAAGTTCATTTGAAACACCGATTGATAGAGGACGTGATACACCAAAAACAATGAAAGATGATAAAGTTGAACATGATGAATTATTATCAAAACGTACAGATATTGATGAAGATGATGAAGATTTTGATAAACAATCAGTATTAACATCGAAAACAACTACTCGCAGTAAATATTCTTAGTTTAAATGAATTTGCTAATATTCTAAAAGAAAAATATTTGTCTTTGTAGAAAAAGTACGTGATCTTCGACTTGATCAATATTTAGCAATGAATACAAGTGAAGATAATATTTCATTTGAACAAGTTATGGAAGAAACTCAAAAAAAAGAACGTACGAAAGTTCATCAAGCTTGGCTTTATGAACAACAAGCTTTAACACATTCGGTAAGATTTAGTTTTTTTTTTTTTTTGTAGTAATCAATATTTGTCATCATTTTCGGAATGATAACTCTATGTTTAAAAATATTGCCGAATTAATATTTTAACTAAAATTAAATTATAGAACTTTTGTTTTTAATATATTATCTTACAAGAGATGATCCGCTTAAATGAATTAATAACTTTTGGGTCGAGATTATGTGAATAAGAAAACTGATTTTCGATTTGAAACTTTCTATAAAAATTGATCTTAACATGAATAGTTCATTATGAAAGTTAAATCGTCAAAAATGTAGTCTCTTAGCAATAATAAACAAAGACTGCGAACTCTATTTTTAGAGTACTTATAGCTGATTAGAGTTTACATAATGCTAATCGTCCTGACATAAGAGCCATTAATCAATTGAAGAACGTCTCCTGTTAGATACAAATTCACAACGTCGCAAAATACTTGAGTCGATTTTCTCATATCTATGCGCTTTTAAATAAAATATCAAAAACAAAATTTGACTAAATTCTTTTAACAAATTCTAGAGCACTGAAAATGAACCAGTTCATGAATTACCAATTCCATCAATTGAAGATCAAGCTAAAATGAATAATCCCGATTCATCACAATTTTGGCCTTATACTGTTAAAAATGCTGTTATGTATTTTCCTGAAGGTAACAATAATCATTTGTTTTCTAATTAAATAAATCGAACATAATTTGTTTTTTTTTAAGGTGCAAAATTAACTGCAGCTGAAAAAATTGAACAAGCTAAACATGTTCGTTCTATACATCATAAAAATACTCGTCTTGAAGTCGATTCCATGGCAGTCAGTACAACGACATCAAATTCATTAAGTCATACATCAACACCAGCTCGACCAAATGCATTAATTCGACCACAAATTGATATTGATGGTCGAGAAATAAAACGTTTAGAAAGTCCACAAGTTAGTGGTTATGGTTTTGTTGTAACACCATCACCAATGCCTGGTGCACATGGTGATGAATCACCAATGATGACATGGGGTCAAATTGAAGGTACACCATTTTGTTTGGATTCTGGTAATGAAACACCATGTGCAATAAATAGTGGACCACAATTTAAAATAATTGAAACTCCATTTCGTGAACAATTAGCATTAGAATTAGTTGAAAAAAATGCAGCACAACATCGTAAAAAAAAAGTTGAAGCTATGAAAACAATTAATAAAAATTTTTCGTCAACAAATAATGCAAAACAAACAAAAGAATTACTTCTATCAACTATGAGTCCAGCTGCACAACGTTTATTGACAAATCGTCTTGGCATACAACGTACACAATCAACAAATACACAACGACAACATGTATTAACACCATCACCAATTGTACGTACGAATGATCGAACACCATTAAATGTTGGAATTATTAAACATTCACCAAGAACACCAAGTACAACAGCAACAACAACAACGGCAGCAACTAGCAGTAGTTTGACTGATAATCTTCTCAATTTAAAACGATAGTGGAGATTGATTTTTTGTTTTGTTTTTCTTTTTTAATGTATATATATATATATAATCATTATGATTAAAAGAACACGCTTTGATATATCATGCTCATATTGCGATATTTACCTAATAGAATAAAAACAAATCTATCTATCCTTTTGAAAAAAACATGTATATTTTACGGATCATTCTATTTGTCACATTCTTCTAATGATGTTGATTATGACAAAGACATGTACAATTAAAATTATGGTATAACAGATGATCATGTCAAAAATAGTTTACTTGGATTTTTTTTTTTTTAATAATCTTTCTGATGTAGTCACTAATCGTTCTTTTTGATCTTTTCAATAGAAATAAGACATAATTTTCTATATTTAATAAAATAATTTCGACAGTTAACCAATTCAATAAGAGTATGATCTTTGATTTATTATTTATGATTATATTTAAGAAAAAATTGTTTCACATTCTTAGATATTTTTATTTCTTTAAAAACTATAATTTAGTAATTGAATGATGATAATAGGTCAAGTAATCATATGAAATAATGTAGGTTTCAGAAGATTACTGTTAGTTATTGTATGTTGCCACATATAGATGATGACATGTAATTATTCATTCGTTCATTCATTCATTCCATCCACTTCAGACAGTATGGCACTTGAATATGTGCGCGTGCGTTCTTCTTTTTTTCTTTGATCTAAATATAAGAGTGTGCCGAACACTAAGTGAATGAACAATCATCTGAATGAAAACATAATAAATGATTGGATGTATTCTTCATATTCCATCAGACACGATTATTATGCAAGTCTTCGTCAATCATAGGTAAAACTTTGAATCTTTGCTTATATATCATTTTCTTATTCATATTTGCTTCTCACCATTGCACATATATACATACATATACAATATTTCGTAGAAGAAAACGACAAAGAGAGAGAGAGAGAGAGAGAGAAAGCTAAAGAAGGAGGAGAGAATTTTTTTTTCTTGTAGAGTACGTATGTATGTGTATGCGCCTTTATCTGCACAAAAGAAGCAGGAGAGAAGAGTTTTGAATTACACATACTTCAACTATATACAACGTTCATCAACATTTGTTTGCATACACATATAAACTCTTTGCCTGTTCTTATCACAGTTATTCATATTTCTTTTCGGGGTCCAACTGACAGTTAAGTAGACGTAAAAAGAAAACGAAAAAGAAAAAGGCAATCGTGGAATCGAAAAAAGAAGTTTATCATTCGAAATTATGAGTTGTTTATTATTTTTCAACTTTATTCTATTACTTTTTGCTATAACACTTCTCTTATTGGGTATAACAACATCAAGATGGCTTGTTATTGTTGATAATAATACAAGTTATATATCTAGTGAAAATTCAAATGGTATTGTATCATCGTGTCAACGACTTTATCGTCAAGGTAATACAGATAAATACATAACTGTAAACAATGAAACAAATAGTATTAATCAATATATATATGATGATGCTTATGTATGTTTTAATCGATTACTCAAATGGTATAATGCATCTATGGTTGGACCTGAATTATTAGGTAAGTTGATAAAACTTTATATACTTTGTATTCGATTATGAACAAAATAGTTTTCAATAAGACTAATTCATTTGAAAATATTAAATAAAGCTTACGAAAATATTCCACTTTTTTAATAAAAAAAAAATAAAAAATAGATTATAATCAACTTTATTTTTATGAAATTAATTTTCAACTTAAAATATAACTTGATATAGATTATACACAAAATCGACGATAGAAATATGAAATCAATAGTACTATATCTAATCGATTTTTTAAATCGATATTTAATTACATACTCTATATTTGTAAATATAGAACAATGTGACAAAGATAAGACGATCATAAAAGCTATTAAATATTTATCAGTGACAAATCTAAGACATTGATAAACGAATAGTCATAGACACATAATCAGATGGTACACACGAAGAAATGTTCATTGCAAGACATACAATATATTTTGTAAATGTAGTTCGCCTTGTAAGAAGCTGTAGATTCATGGTTTTGTTGGTCTGGACTCGAGTTTTTTTTTTCTTCATCTATATCTAGTCCCCTCTGTGTTCATCAACAAGTGAGTGAAGGACGGACCAAGGTTCGAGTTATTTATTGACTACTCTTCGAAACCAAAGTCAATGTATGTACAGTTAGATCTTATTGTTCACCTTCCCATCTAAGAGGGTGTAGATTAATGAAAATGTTGGTCTAGAAGAACATGGAACTTTGTAGTATCGAGTCGATTTCATTTTGATGACATTATATTCTCAAACAATGTTTAGCCAAGAAAAAAAAAAGCATATGCGAAAATTTATATTCTTATTTTGTATATATACATTTGATTTTTTTTTTCTAAAACAAAAAAAAAATGAATAGAGTACCAAAAAGTATTAATTGGTATGTCATTTGGTTGTGTATTCGTTACTATTATTGCTCTACTACTTACTCAATTAATCAATACAAATGCATCGTTTCACAATTTTCGTTTTTCTAAACATATGGTTGAATGCTTATTGATTGCTGATATTCTTACTGGTATGTAAATTCTATCGTATTCTTGTTATTGTTTTTCATCTTCTTTTAAATATAAACAACAAATATTTACTTGTTGATCATATTTTTTTTTTTTGTATTTAAAGTCGTATTGGCATTGATTACATTAGCATTATTTCTTGGTTTTGAACGTCTACAAACATTAACAGCTTATGGTTTCTCATTTTGGTCATTTGTAGCCGGTACAAGTTGTGTATTTATTAGTTGTATTCTTACAGCAGTTTATCGTATTGATGTGGAGTTTGAATTTCGTCGTTATCGACATGAATCAGTAGCAACACTTTGCTAAAAATTTAATCTTTATTGTACTGTTTTATGATATTTACTAGATATTGTTGTTTTTTTTTAATAATATGTAAAAGTAGAGATGTCAGTTTCTTTTTTTTTGTTTTTATCAAAAGAAAAAAATATACTTGGAAATATTTGATCTTTTTTTTCTTTCTTGAGTTTACCTTTGTTAACAACAAAGTATGTTATGTTTGACATTGGTAACCGTAACACGTGATTGTATGTGTGTGTGTGTGTTTTTAACAAGAACAGAAAGGAAAAAGGAATCGATGGTAATGTTGCCAACGTAGGCTATAGTAAAAAAAAAAAAAGTCGAATGAAGGCTTTTTATTGCAGTCATTAGTAACAAGTTGGAAAGTCTAATTTCACATTAAGATTTTTCTTTTTTTCTTTTTTAGCTATAAGATATATTACTATAAATATGTCTGGCGTGTAAGTATTAACTTGATGAGATTTGAAAAACATCTATTATTTATTTATTTAGTACTATTGAAAGAGTCAGTGAAGATTATATTCGTTTTTCATTTACTAATGGTTCATTGGATGTTGTCATTCGACTTGGTGACTTAAGTCAAGAACCATGTGATGCTATTGTTAATCCTACAAATTCATATTTGATTCCCGATGGAGGATTAGATGCTCGTGTACATGAAAAAATGGGTCAATTTTTTACAGATCAAGTCGTTGCTCTTCATAAAGATATGCAAGCAAATGCATGTCCAATGGGACAATCACGTATTTTTATTGGAAAATTTAATCGTGAACAAAATGATGCACGTTTTGTTATTAGTACTGTAGGTCCAGTTTATACAGAGTCAGAGATAGAACGTGCTGGTTTTTTTTTGCAATCATGCTATTATACGTCGTTGGCGCTTGCAAATATTTATCAACTTACTTCAATTGCATATCCAGCAATATCATGTGGAGCAAATCATTTTCCTCCAGATGAAGCAGCTCGTGTGGCTATTGATTCAATACGACGATTTTCACATAATGTAAAAGATGTTCGATTTGTTTTGTTAGATCGTGCCATATTCGATGTTTTCGTTCAAGAATGGACTGATTATGCGCAACAAGTAAATAAAGATGCAAATAAGATTGATCAAACTAGTGATGATCAAAGTGAACCACCAAAAACACCATCACCTGTATCACCAAAACTAACAGTTCGTACTTGTGTTCTTTGTAAAAAACAAGAATTACCTGTTGATCGAGAAACTTTATGTCCTAATTGTTCTCAGTTGGAACGTCCAGAAGTATTTAAACTTTTTTTATCAAATTTACGTACATCTAGTGAAAAATCATATGATACACTTGTGCAAGAATGTCAATTATTAAATCCAGTTTTGAAACTATATGCACTTATTTATACTCCAGCTAAAGTATTTGATCCAAATACTTATACCCGTGATGTGGTTTCTGAACATTATTTAAATCGATATTGTGATAAACATTATCGCAATTCTATACCACTGTCAATTGCAGGTGACGGAAATTGTTTTTATAATACATTTGTTGTATTAGCAGGAACAGGTTTAACTACTGATGGATCTGTTTTAACATCTATTGAACTTCGAGCAAGAAATGTTGTTGAACTTGTTCTTAATCTGGAAGTATATAGATCTCAATATGCTCATTATTTGGCTATTCTTGATCCATTTGAAGAGTATGTTAGAACAGAAATGGTGCGTGATACGAATTATGTAGCTGTTTGGGATCTACTCAGTATACCAACTGTATTGAATATTCATTTAACTTGTGCTTATCCGAAAGTCAATGGTGATGAAGATTTAAATTGTCGATATCTCAATAATGCTCAATTTATGCCATTGGGAGAAAATCATGTTGCTACTAATCCAGAGAAGAAACCAGAAACATCGTTGATAGTAAAAGAAGTTAGACTACTTTTTTCTCATTGCAATAGACCACCCGTCACTGGATTTTCAAAAGAAAAAATAACATGGATACCTAATCATTTTGTACCTCTTCTTTCTATCAAGTAAAACATATTATTTATTAAAAAACTTTTTCTTATTCTGAAATAAATGCAGAATTGATTTATTTTTATTTCGTATAAAAAATAAACTAATAAAAAAAAGTTATGGATATACAGTTGACGAAAAATTTGAACATGTTAAATGATCGATCTCAATAAATTCTATATAAAAAAAAAAAAAAAAATGTTTTTTCTTTTCTAATGTCTTTTTCACAGACTTATGTTCAAGATTTTTAATCGATATAGTCTCATAAATATGAATTACTATTTTGAATTTTAATACAATTCTCAATTCGATTTACAAAATAAAATTTTCATTCGATTGCTCAGAAATCATCGAAATATTCTTGATAAATTTTAGAACAGTAATAACAAATCTTTTATATGTTAAACCAAACGTAAGAATTCAATATTCGAATAAGTCAATATGTTTTTTTATCACATACACATTGCCGATACATTTTAGTAAGAGATAAATTCGATTCATTAATTTACTAATTTTTCTTCTACAAACCTACTCGCTATCGATGATCTTTAAAAATGTCTTCCACAGGAGAATCCCTCTTATATGAACACGATCGCAACTGACCAAAAGTGTTCATTATGAAAAGGGTTTTAGTTTTCTTTTTTTCAACCTATAAATATTCAGTTGCATTTGCTTGTTGGCTGCACAAACCGATCTGTTTCTTGTTTTCAATAATTGATTAATTGAACTGTTTTAATCAGAAGAAAGTCAACACATATTGACATAATTTCATATTACTAGCTGTTCACACAAAACCAACGAAATATTATGGCATGCACTATTGCTGTCGTCTAATATTGGTAGTTTTTTTTTCAAAATATTCACAGCTAGTTCATCCCCTGTTCTATGAGTGTTCATCACAACATCATTCATTTCTCGCTCTGTATGTGAGTGATGGAATATATGTTGCTCAAATTACAGAGATTGGTATTACTCATGGAACTTGAAGTAAGCACCTACTATTCAGAATAAGCAAGTGCTCATATGAAGAGGTATTACTGTAATATATTTTCTTTCAAAATAAATTTAAACGGTCAGATAATTGTATTTTCAACATACTTAGGCTCGTTTTTATCAGAAGTTATTCAAAAAATATCCACTTCTCTTATTTTTAAATAGGTATTAGTATAACCGTTACATATGACAGAAAAACAGATCTTATCGAAATTTTAGTATTATTTACATTAGCTGAATAATGATCAAATATCATGAAAAAATAGAGCATTGTTTGTATTATCTCTGCATATAAAACGAAAGTTTTCTAAAGAATTTACTATACGGTATTAAAGTGTCACTGTCACTATTTTTTTTTAGATTGTCCTAAGTACCTTTCTCTACATATGCTCCTATAACGGAATGACCAAGTTTCATTCCATGATGTTTTTGTCTTCGTGTATTTTTCCTTCATAGTACGTTCACTCTTTCTTTTCTTTCCTCTCATATGGGTTTTTTCCTTTCATATTCTTCTTGTCACCTGGATTTTTCTTGTGCTCTCATTACTCTTGTTGGATTTTTCCTATCTTGTGTATCATTATGAATATTTTCATTGCATCCATCTATATATACAAAACGTAATTTCACAATAAAAGACATTACGATCTACAAAGTTAATCTCTTAAGAAGTTCACATCATTTAGAATTCTAACGAATCTTCCTGTCAAGTTTTACTAGGAAGTGATGATGTTTAGTGTTCGGTATGATCGCCGTAACTCACGCTTATCAAGGTTACGAGTACTAAAATAGTCTCACAGATCCTGTTTCTGTATCGGCTGCATCAGTTTTTTCACAACACGTATAATTTCATTTTCTTAGCTGATTACCATTATCTATGCACTATATTCTCAATCAAAATAACTAAACATAAATGTTACAAGAAAAATTAAGATTTAGGAAAATTTTAAATTTTCTTGAATTCTAATTTCTTCTGGGACAAAAACATCACAACAAGCGTAACATATTATAAAAGTACAATACATTTAAACGAAAACACACGTCTATGTTACTATTTCGTTGAACCGAATCGAATTAATTAAAAGCAGTTTTTTGTCTTTCTTGTTTGATAATCTTATCATTTGTATTTGTTTTTGTCTTTATCGAACTTTTGTCAAAACAAATATCGTTCAAGAAAAAGAGATTGCTAATTGAGATGAACTAGAAAGAATGATCAAGCTCCCGTAATTGTGACCAAACAACTTGGGAACACAGAATATTAATGATGACTTGAATTAATCACACAGATTTAATATAGAAAAAATTTTTTCCAACAAGGATTTGAGGAAAATAAAATCTTCACAGTATTTCAAAAATGAACTTTTTTTGCCATTTCCTAAGAGAAACTTGAACACGATGGACTTTTGAGCTTCTCTTACAACTTTTGGAATGCAGTCCAAAAATGTCGTGGAAACTTCGTTCACGTTACTATTTGGATTCTTTATACGAGTTATCATTACGGAAAAAAATTGAAGTAAAAACCTGTATCAATGATAAACCATTTTGAAGATTGATTATTTCATCTACGGATTTAATTCTAAATAAGATTCTTCTACAAAAAAAAAAAAAGCTCTCAAACAGTACCTACACAAACGAAATATATTAACAATATTGCATGTTCATCATAGAACATATATACAGATTGTATTATTAATTATGATAATTTTATCATTATTTTTATATATTCATTTAAAAAAAAAGAAGAAGACGAAAATATTGTACAGATAAATGAAAATTCGTGCACATTTATTTATTTAATATTTCATGTAGTATAGCAAGAAAGAGACAGAAAGAAATAGAAACAAAAATCAACACCGGGCTATAATTGGGATATACAGATACAAAAAACAAGAACAACAAACAATAACAACAACAATTATAAGGCACATACTGTTTTTTTTTATATTTATATGTATATAATGACTATACTTCGGTTTGAAAAAATGATGATAATTTAGTTGATTTTTTTCCATTTTTATGTTCTTTAGTTAAATCAGAATCACTTGCATGTCTAAAACGATTTATTGTTGTTGTCATTGTTAATTGACTTGTTTCATTATTATTTGTATTATTATTATTATTATTATCATCATCATCATCATCTGTATGTCGACTATTACGTCTTGCCTTTAAACTATCTAATTTTCTTGGATTTAATTTCCATGATGTTGCATTGATTTTATTATGTTTTATTGATAATGATGATGATGTTTGAAAACTATTATTTTCATGATTAATATTTGATTTTAAAAATGATGTTGTACGTGCATATGTTGGTGATGATGAAAGAAGACGAAGCGGTGAACCACTTAAACGAAGACGTTCAATTGTACTCATACCACTACCATTTGTTGGTTTTGATGATGCTAAAAGACGAAAAACAAAAACCACCAACGGAAATTTATTCATCTGAAATGAATTTTAATATTTTTTTTTTTTCATTTACTTTTTATAATTTTAGCGTAGACAGGTGCTTTTTGTAATGATGATGTTGATGCACGTATACTATGTGTACTACCACCATTGAATAATGATCGTTTACGTTCACTATTTGATATTGGTGATGTTAATAATGTTTGTTCATTATTTGATGAATCATTTGATGATTGTGTTAAATCAATATCATTTTGTTCAGCTAATTTTTCAGTTAAATTAGACAATGAATTTAAACCAGTTTGATAAGTATTTGGATTTTCATCTTTATGACCATTGAAATATTCTATTTGAATATTTAGAAGAAAAAAAAAGATTAGATACAAATACAATCCTGAATAAAAGTAATTGCTTCGCATATATAACTAGTACTATTATTCTTTATGATATTGAACTGATATTTTAGACGCATGCACATAAAAATAAATCCTGATCGCAAGTACTAATATAGCTTTCATTCCTTGATACATAGACAAGATCTTAGTAGTTATCAGACTCTGAGATATCATACGAAACTTTCTCAAACAAATTTTTAAATGAAAATCATCATTTTAGCTGTTCATCAGGCATGCTTAATAAAAAGATAATATCTAAGTTGTTTCAAATTGGTTTTTAACAAAATTCAAACTAGAGATAACTAAAATAGTCGAATGAGGATTTTGATAAAAATATTTGTACCAACATGGTTTTGATAAGATGATGTATGAACCATAATTCCATTACATATGAACCAATAGAAGACGAGTTTGTACTTGCGAGTAGGATTTATTGTGGTGTGTGCATCTATCCAAAATATCAGTTCAGGATCATAAAGAATAATAGCACTTCATGAAGAGTGGCTACTTTTTTCCTGGACTCTTATTTGGTTGATTGCAAGAAAAAACCTTGGTCTGATAATTTAAACAACTACTACTCCAATAGATTTCATTGATTTTAGCATGAGCCTACGGAGAATACTATCCTGTAGGATTATTCATTTATTTTCAAAAGAAAAATACAGCATATGATTTCTTCAAAATAGAAAGTGATTCGAAAAAAAGACTAAACTTTTTCAATATCGTATTTGCTAGTTGTTTCCATTCATCTTAAGCTCAATGAACATTTCTAAATAAGAACGATAGTTTGAAGTATCTTTCTTAATTTTTCAATGGAATGTAATCCTATTATATGACTCGTTTTCTCTGAACATAAATGAAAAATATTCCAGTACAGTACTCATTGTATGTTTTTGATTCGTGTTAAAACCAATAAAAATGAAATTAAAGAAGCCGACTGGAATTATAGTATACACTACTGTATTTATAAAATGATAATGAACAATAAGACTTACTTGTTGGTGATGATGGAACTAAAAGAATAAAAAGAAAAGATATATAAATTTATTTTACGATAAGAAAAATTCTTACAATCAAATAAATCTGTAGATTGTGGATCAACAAGTGGAATACGTGTAGTGTCTATAAAAAAATAAAAATATAAATCTCATAAATAAAAAAATTTCATAATTACAAACCATAATCAATACTGTTATAATGAACAAGAAAATTATCTGGTGGAATATTCATTTTTCCAATAGGTGAATAATATTTCGGATCATTCTGAATTAAAGATAATATTTAGTTTTCTATTTTTTTGTTGTACATTGATTTAACTTACTTGATGACGATTTAATGATTCATGAGATTGATATGGAGGTTTATCAATTGATTGTGATGATTTATTTAACTGATTCTTAGTTGTCTAAAAGATCAATATGAACTATAATTATTGAAATAATCTTAATTTCAATAGACTTAAATTCTATTTCTTTTCTATTATGCATATAAGTATATTTTAGATATGGCATCGGTTCGTATATTTCCGAACTAAATATATTCTCTAACTTAAACATTTACAATATTGTCTTCTCAATATTAATTGCCTTGATTCAATACTAATCATGAGCAAAATTTATCAAATCTTGTAGAAACTGAACTTTTCGCAATCATGCGGTCAAATACAGACTTATCGAATCTTCTAAGTTTTAGAGATATTGTAAAATAATAACAAAAATATTAGCAGTAAAAAAAAAAAGAACGAACTGATTATCTTTTATTTTTGTGTTTTTTCTTTTGACATAATTTCTAAGAAAATATTTCTTCCCATTAAGTTAATATGTCAAAGAGAAAAAAAAAAAGGTTAAGTTTGTCGAAATTCTATATAATTATAAAAGAAATATTCTTCTATACCTTATCATTAAAATTATTCATTGTTGTTTGTTGATGATTAGTCTGATCAACAAGTGCCATAGTTTCAATAGTTTGTTTTCCATTATGATTTAATTTTAATAATGTTTGCATAGGACTTTCAATTTTTTTTGTTGTTTTTGGTGATGATTTTTGTATAAGTAATGGTGCTGATACTAATGGTTTATCATTATTTAAATTATCATTTCGTTTTTTATCTTTTCGTTGTTGTTGACAATAAATAATTAACGAAAGACAAAGTAAAAAAAATAATATAAATGTACAACAAATTAAAGCTAATCCAATATATAAAGAATTTTTTGTTGATATTGGTAAATTAAAAAATGATGATATACATGTATATGATTGATTTAAATGATTTGTTGTTGTTGATGATGAAATACATTGTTCATTAAATAAACAAGGATGACTTAAACATGGTTGTAAATCATATTGACATTGTCGACCGGAAAATCGAGATTTTAAACAATTACATGTAAAACTTAAACCATGTTTAGAATTAAGACTTGTACATAAACCACCATGATAACATGGATGATATAATGAACAAAGATCATCTTTAATTGTATAATGTCTTAATGTACGTGTTTCAATTTCAGCTAATTGACAACCATTATTTGTTCCAATATGTTCAATTGAATTATTATTATTATTTTGTTTTTGTAAATAAATTATTTGATTATTTATTGTTAAATTTCCTAAACAACCATGAAAATCATTTCCAATAAATAATTCATTGATTTGATTTAATAAAATTTTTTGTGATCTATGAATTTTATTACTAAATACATGATCAAGACGTATATGATAATAATAATAATAATTATTATTATTATTTAATGAATAATCAATTGAAAAATAAATATGATGCCATAAACTATCATTTATTAATATTTCATTTAATTGAAAAAGAATTTTTTTATTTAATTGAAAATTAATATAACCATCTTTTATTTCAATTATAAATATATGTTGTTGTTGATTATTTTCATCATATGCTAATAATTTTAATAATTTTCCTTGTGATACTTGTGTACGAAATGTAAATGTTATATTTATATGTTGAGTTAAATTCATTGTTATATTCATACGAACAAAACTATAACCATCGAATGTTAAAGTATTTGATGAATCTAAACAAAATATGTTTTTGTTTTTTTCTCAATTAAGTTAAAACAATTTATAAAAAAAAAAAACAAAAAAAAAAAAAGAAAAGGAGAATGGAATATTCTTTGTCGGATGATTTTATTTATATATATATGATTAAACACTTTCTCTTCAATTTCAATTAGACGAGAAGTCTAATCAGGGCTGTCGCGAGCAACCAAAAATTGGGGGAGGGGGTACCTTATAAAATCCTACTTCCCAACAATTTTGGGAACAAGTAACCAGTGTTACGAGATTTTCCAGATTTTGAACGTTTTTCTGGATTTTGAGATTTGAATTCCGAATTTTCGAGTTTCACATCTAGGAACCCTCGATTTAACCTTTAGAATCGTTTTTAAGGGTACACCTTCCCCTTTCCTGACGTGAAAAATGTTTTATTCCAATTTTTTGTTTTTCATTCATGCATATACTTGGTATAGTGTCTTCTATCGATCTGCAAAAAAAATCCTTCTTTTGAATGAGTTTAGCCCTAGAAAATAACGCGTTTTGAGACCCCCGTATCGAAAAAAACTCGATTTTTTCGCTTTGTTCTCAAAATCAATTTTTTAGGAGAAAAACTAGTGTTTCGTTATCGTTTCTCCGACATGGTAAGAGGAATCGAGCTGAAACTTTTTTTTGCATATAATAGTCACTATTTGGGGTGGGTATTTGTTTTTATTCCAAAAAAGCTGTTAGCGCAATCCCTTGTGGGATTAAAAATGTGAAACACGATGGATCTACTGCTACTAATTAAATGGAAATCGTTTTGTTCCATTTCTTTGCAATCCATTTGTAGCGAACCGTTTACCTGATGATTTAGAACTACAGTTTCTCTGTCACGGTCTGTGATGGATCCAAACCCCGTCTGTCACGGTCTGTGATGGATCCAAACCCCGTCTGTCACGGTCTGTGATGGATCCAAACTCCGTCTGTCACGGTCTGTGATGGGTCCAAAGCCCGTCTGTCACGGTCTGTGATGGGTCTAAAGCCTGTCTGTCGCGGTCTGTGATAGGTCCAAAGCCCGTCTGTCACGGTCTGTGATGGGTCCAAAGCCCGTCTGTCACGGTCTGTGACGGTTAATTAGTTAATTAATCACTAATTAATTAATTACTAATCAATTAACTAGTTAATTAATTCAGATGTCTGTCACGGTCTGTGATGGTCACGTGAGCGTCTGTCACGGTCTGTGGGGGGGGGGGGGGGGGGGGGGGGCCCAAATTTCTACCCCTAAACACTTCAACACTCCTTTCAGATCGTGTTTCACAAAAGCATCAATGCTCATCGATCAAAATGATTCTGTTTTTGTTTAAAACATGAACTCATCGTTTGTATTTCTATAGCCAAGATCATTGCTTCACATTCGAAAGTATGTCATGAGAGCTGATCCTTGGTCTTTTCGAACATTTCAATATCAAAGAAATTTTTCAATTGTTCTCCCATCTCACTCCGCTCATCGTTTCATATATTCTCGATCAACATCAGCAACTTCATCTACATCTTGACCGTCAAATGTCTTTTCTTTCGAAAAGCTATTTCCCTGATCAAATTATTTCACTTCACATTGAACATATCATTATTTCAATCGCTATGTTCTTTCATCTTAAATTACATTCCATCGTCCATCACAATGACCAAGAAGAGAAATGATTCAATATGATCAAGCAGGTTTGAAAAAATGTTAATGAATAGTATTGAAGTCATACGGGTGACTGTGAGTGTCATTTGTTCTGCATACTTATACCCACATACCTTTCACCAGTGCTATTAAGTTTTCATACACTATCAGGTCTGGTGATAGCAGTTAACCGTTTATTCGAATTTGAATACTTAGTTTGTATGAGAAAGTTCACATAGTCAATATGTTTTTTTTTCTAATTTTGTTTAGAAAGCTAAAAGTCAACGAAGTATAATAGAAAGATCATATGACAAACACAGTGGCAATTAATGTCATGAGCATAGCACAGTGAATAAGAGTAAGAATATAATAGGACAAGGTATAATCAAGGCTGGCTGGTATCGCCTGTTGGGTACCTACTGTTATCATTTTCACTTTAGAAAAATGAGCAAATTTGACCACTAGTACATTCCAGAGACTGGCCAGTACAAAGCTGATAATTATCACCATCCCAAAACTTAGGACAATGGAGGGTGCGGCAAAAACAAAGTAACAATAGATGGCGCACAGAGGTTGTAAGACAATCAGCATGGAAATGAAATAATTCACACGAATTTGAAATAAGAGTGTATAATAACGAGAAAGGCGAATTAAGTCGTCGGCCAATGTAAGGCGACTAAACGAACACAAATCCATAGACAAATTCATGAGAAAGACTTGACATAACATGAGACTAAAGATAGAGAGGACTTGAAGTTCAGCAGTATGCGCCATCAGTTGATTCCAATGATTCCAATCAGGTACACACCACCAATGCAACAAAAGCGAACAGCAGCAGATAGTGCTATCGAGTTGAACGCTAATTTTGCTTTGTGTTGAAGCAATAAAGAAAAATATGAACCACCAAGCAACACCTCCGTAAATAGCAAACCACAAAGAAGTAGTTCTCATAAGACAACTAAACACTAACATTGCACTGACCAGTTGAAGTGGCCAATGCATTCGATGAAGAATCGTAACAATTATTTCGCTTACCCATTTCGGTTCAGATACTACTTTAGCCTTCGATTGTCGCAAAGTTCGATACGTACCCAATCGAAAAAGATGCCACGCGAACAGATGTAGTGGACTGATCCAAACCATTTTTCAAATGATACTCTAAAAAGAAAGGGCAAACCCAAATAGTGATCGAAAAAGGGCGGAGAGCGATGAATCATCAATAAGCCTGAAATATTATTGTTTAGTTTCTACAAAGAATATTCAATGATACTGCACGTAAACTTAGAAGAACGTTTCCTATATTGGATATCAAAACTTCATTGATAAAGAGAACAAATTGAGATATTATTCGAGAAAATATCGTGATCCAGACACCAACATTCACTCAGTTGACTCACTAAATTTCTAAAACTAGCGTCCGTAAAATTAAAGTATCGACTGCATGATTGCATTAAAACGAAGTGCAATACTGAAAGAATTTGCTTGTGGCGCCATGGAAGTCAAAAAACCGAGTAAACCATGGATTTGTGTCTCTGAGAAATTGGAAATCTTTATCTTTCTTTTAGATTGAAAGCATTTTTTCATTGTTTTCTACATACTTGAACATGGTTTCAGCTGATGAGTCTTAGAAAACTTACTCCTATAGATCGGTAAAAAGTGAAAAATCGTTAGAAAATAGATGATTCGTGAGTAAACTCTCATCTAAAGCATTAGATAAGGGCAAAAGTTGTAGACTACTGTGTGGCTGCTCAGCATAAGGAGACGAGTCTCATGCTGCTTTTGAAAATGTTTCAAGAAACTTGAAAATGCAATTTTAACAGTTTTCAATTTAAGTGCTTTGAATTTCAAATCAGATTTAAAACAGTGCTTCCTTTTTCTTTTAAACTGGCTTCTAAAATTTTTGTTCTCATACTTCCATTCTTTGCATAAGAACTTTCAAAGCAATCTTTTATGTTCCGTTGGATGCAGAGATGTTCATCACGGCTCGAAATTTGCCGCTGCCGCGTCGCAATGAATTTCCAAAAAGTGTGCCGCTGCCGTGATGGTACTCGAAAAAAAAGTTTCGAATTTCATTGCTGTGAGTGTTTTGAAATACAATTCTTGTCACTAATCAATGAGATTCATTGAGACTTAGAGTGTTACGTTTGTGGACACTAAATTTTTGCGAAAATTCATGTAATTTTTGTAATGTCTTCCAGAAATAAGGTGTCGCCACCGCGCCACGATGGACATCTCTGGTTGAGTGTCTGAAATTTGGAACAAACTTGGTACTTTCTTAGAAACATTGTCAAATCGATAACGTTTTGAATTATTTGCAAATGAGTAAGTCTTACAATACATTTAAAAAATCGAAGGTACAACATTCTCACATAGAAAGACAGTAAGACGCACCTGTAATCAAACCCTTCGACAGCATGCTTCAAAATGATTCGTTGTTGTCCGTATAGTGATAAAACGAAATAAAATGCCCATGTCTATCGCCATGGCATATCATTATAGTAGAGTAGAAAAATGACAAGAAAGAACAAGACATGTGAGGTTGAGAGTATATTTGCTGTCTTTATAGCAATCAGTTAAGATAATAAATGTTACGTTTGTTTCACTGATTTGGTGGCAGTAAGACAAAAAACCGCGAGAATGTTCGTAAGTGAGTCATTCATGCACTCGTATGGTAATGCCAAGTGCGGGCTGTATTGACGGTGTAGATCTGAAGTGTGAGTGTCCGTGTGAATAACTATGGGTAGAGATTAACAGAGTGAGTTCCACATTCCAGTCTGAAAAGGACTGCGTGAATAAACTTTTCTAAACTAAAATAGGTACTATTCTCAAGCATCAAGTTAAATAGAACATAACTCTATCGTATATTATCAATTATATATACACCAACAGGTCTCAACTCATTATTATTTATCTTGATAAGTTCATCCGTTTTTGTTGAACATATCATGACTGTACAAAATCGATGCATCACTATCCATCATACTTGAAATCTTGAATATAAATTCTTATCAAGACAAAAGTCAAAAACTTCATAATTTAAAACATTCACAAATTCATTCTACTTGTTTAGATTTCGAGAAAGGTCTTGAAATATTCTAGAGCAGTCAAAGCTTTGTCGTTAATGTTGTTCCATTCCTTTTTTTTTCATTGTTGAAATATTCTAGGAAAGAAGTCTGATGCAGTTGTCCTCGGCCTAGTATATATGTATCAGAAATGTCCATGGCGGCGCTACAATGGTAGCTTTTTCCTTACGAACAATACAAAAATGCATCAATTTAGACAGCATTTAAGTGTTTGTACATGCAAAAGTCGCAGACTCAACGAGTCATATCGATTAGTGACAGTAGTTCTGGCCCAAATCAATCTAAGCTCTGAAATTCAAAAGAACTTTTTAACAGTCATCGCGGTGCAGCAGTGGCAAGTGTTTATTGACAATTGACATATCGGGTATGTATGCGTTTCAAAAGGTTGTACCTGCTTCCCGAATGAATACTCGCCTCAACATCATACACGCAGAGCCATACCTTCGCCAGTGAGAATATTTAAGAAAATCTATTAGAAAGTCCTGCTAAAGCGAATGCTCTTAGATAAATAATAGAAGTTCTAGTGTTGTCTTTAGGATCTTCTGCGTTTTATTCGGCATTTTTGCTACAATTTTTGCATGCTTGTATTTTTTTAGAAATCATAACAGTTTTTCGAATAGAAGCAGTGGGATGTGACACCTCGCAATCGTGGAAAATTTTAATTTTTTTCCAAGTAGAATTGAAATTATCTACTCGAATTCTGTCAGAAGATAGATATTCTCTCTTCCCGCCCCACTTCCAATACTGAGTACTTTAAATTATCACATAAAATCTTTTTTATCAATAATCATCTCTCTATTGAATGTTCGTCATACACAACTATGACAGACAGTTGGTTTTCATTAGTAATGAATTATCACAACTTGGAAATAGATAAATCATGCAAATAATATTAAAGATCTAAAAGTTTCTCCTACTTTTCAGCTAATAACTGGTTAAGAAAGAAATCATGATCAAATTCAAAAACTCCGAGATACAGTCACATTTATTCAAAGAAAACTCAATACAAGCATTACTACATAATCTAAATTATTATTATAACAATTCGCGTTTGGTATACTTAGAAAATTCTCTTATGAACATATGTGTTTAGAATTACAGATCTTTTTCTATTTTCAAATATTCAGTAAAAAAAGTCTTATCATAGAATAGCTTATCGAAATGATTCATGAGATAAAAACAAAAAAAGACAAAATAACAGTTACACATGGTACATTTTTTTTTCATAAGAATTTTATTATCTATTATTCATTTTAAATAAAAAAGTGTATGCAAAAAAAATGTCTTTCCCTCTATTCTTGTCATTGGTTTTAAATCGAATCCAGGCGACATTCGTCAGTCTCTTTTAGGTATCAAATTATGTTTTATATTCTATACAAAATCAAATCTTTTCTTTGGCGAAAGAATTTTGTAATCTTTCCCTTGATGAAAAAGGTCGTTACTTGCCAGATACAATACCTTTTCAAGGTTATTATGGTATTGGTCGTGAAAATCTTGATTCAGCAAATTTAAAACTTGTTGATAAAAAAAATCGTTCAAATTTCATCAATTAGATTCAAATAGAAAAGATCTGTTACCTAGTACATTTTCTAACGATGGAAATTGCAAATTAATAAATTAAATCCATGAAAATGCAAATGTTATTAAAGAAATAAGACTAGAAATCCTATACATATTAATCCTGAGCGAAGAAAATATTTTTCATTAACCCTTTGGGTTCGGGCGACGCACATGTGCGTCTTGGGATTTTGCGCACTGAATACCTATAGAAAACATGGTGTTTTAGTTATTTAATGGTATAAATTGCATGAATATTTGTATTTAGNCGGTTTTCGACCAATTTATTAAAAAGTTATAAACACGTACCTTGTATAACAGATCTTTTTTTACATAGCCTTACGTGCCCTGATGTCCTCTATCCAACGGTGAAAATCCCAGGTCTCTATCATTTTCCTTTCAAAAGTTATAAGAATTCTGCCCAAGCGACTTATTTTCAGAAATGGATAATAGTTGGAATACTTGAAAAGTGGTAAATAGTAAAAGAATTTCATCACGGAAATTTTTATTGATGTTTTTCGAGAATTCTTTCGCTAACCAAGAACATATGACATACTGGTAATAGGATAACTGAAAAGATACTTTGCTCATTCAGTATACGAACACCTGAAGATAATCACAAAATAAAATATGTCTATCATGACATTATTGATTTGATTATTATAACCTGCATTGATGGGTAGGGTAATCCTATATGAATAAAATAAGTTTTTTTTCCATTTAAAAAAAAACATTCGTTCATAGCACAAGTTATAGTTTGATACTCATTTAATTTAACAGTAATTTAAATAGCCATATGGCATATATTATTAAAAAATATTTATTTAATAAGAATAAATAATTTAGTAGAACAAAAAAAAACACAGAAAAAAATCATGTTATTTGTCATTATTTTAAAGTTCACTTGAAAAATCATCCAATCAGTTTAAACATTAGATGACCTTATTTGTTTGACAAAATTTATTCATTCTAACAGGATGTCATTTGATCATATCAATCAAAATTGTCTACTGAGCTAGATTATCTTTTATTGATCATGTAATTTGAATCGTTTGACATTCATGAATTCAATCAGATAAAAATAAATATTTTCTTGAAAACTTCAATGAATCGCACTTTTTTTTTTTTTTTTTCAAACTAATATTTTCTTTTTCAGATGTATTTTTGATTGAACAGATGGTCACAATAAATGTCTAGTTTTTCTATTCTATTCTATGTTTTGATGAGCATGTGTTCTTTTAAAAGACGTAGATAATGACTAACGCTTATCTTCTATCGATTAGTGAATGAATTCGATGGGTAATTAGCGTCCGATGAAGAACAACTCAGTAGCAGAAATAAATGAGTGAGAAACAGGAGCAGCTGTTATTCTCACAATGCATATCGATTGATGGCATGTAAAACAACAACAACAGCAGCAATCTCTATTCAGACATGCATCAAACCAACATAGCCGACGTTAGTCGCCACACGCATTACCACAAGGGATTAAAGAAAGGAAATTAGAATTGACTGTATAATGATGTTCACCATCGGTCACGCGCATACATGCATGCATGCATGCAGACATTCTAATTGTCGTTTGATTATCCTGAGACGACAAAAGTATATATATATGAATTAATATAATACAAGATTAGAACAATAAATTAGTATATGATATGACAGAAAATGAACATATAAATTGAATAGATTTGTCAAAAAAAAAGAAAACGAAAATATTTTACTCAAATCAAAATCATAAAGTAAATCTGAATGTGTATTAAATTTCTTAAAATCCTTTTTTGATTAAAAGAAAGAAAAGAAAAGAACGTCATCATACCTTGTTGATCAATTGAAAATGGTAATTTGATTTCATCATGAATTATTTCAATAAAATCAATAGTTGTTGAAAGAATTTGAAATCGACGATAAATATTTATTATTATTGAATCAATAGATAATGATTCATTTATTGTTAAACCATATGCTTGTTCAGATAAAAGTATTGGTTGTTGAGCATCAGAAAATGATTTAATATAAATCGATACTAAACTTTCATTTTTATGTAAACCATCTGAAACTTGTACTGTTACATTTAATATTTGATCAATTAAACGATGTAAATTATATTTTAAACGTAAATGACCTGTATGTATATTTATTGTTATATATGGATTTGGATTAATTGAATAAATTAAATGATCATTTTTATCGAAATCTATAGCAAGAATTTGACCAAATATTGAATAACGTGGCATATCAGAAAATAAAGTAAAACTATAATTATCTAATAAAAATTGTGGTGTATTATCATTAATATCATTTATTGTAATATGAACTGTTGTACATATTGTTTGAAGTTGTATTTGTGAACCTTGATCAGATACGATTATATGTAAATCAATAGATGAATATTCTTCATAATCAATAGATTTTATACAATCAATTTGACCTGTTGAAGAATTTATAGAAAAATATTGATTATAATCAAGTAATGAATAAGTTATTGTACCATTTTCACCTATGAAAGAAACAAAAAAAAAAAAAAAGAATAATTTGCTTCTATTATTATTATGATACAAAAGAAATATTTACCTAAATCTGGATCAAATGCTTCGATTTGATAAATATTTGTTTGTATTTCATTTTCATTTAATTGAATATTTGTATGAAAATTTTTACATATTGGAATATTATCATTAACATCATTAATATAAATAATAATTAACATTTTTTGATAATATTTATTTGTATATTGAAAATTAATAAATAAATTTTTCGTTTGACAATAATATTGTTCTTGTAATTTAATTGAATAAATTGATTTTAATTTAAGTTCAATTTCAAATATATATTTATTTTGTTTTTCACGATCAATTTTATCAATTAATTTTATATATTTTTCATTTTGATCTATTATAAATGGTACATTTGTATCATTTATATTATAGAAAAATATATTATCATATTCATTATTTATATTTAATGGAAATAAATCTGATTCGATTTTTAAACGATCAATTATTGTATTTATTTCAATATCTTCTGATATATAATATGTTGTAAAATTTTGTCGAAAACCAATATTTAAATAAACAGTATCGATATTTGAAGGTAATGTTGTATTATATCTACTAGAATAAATAATTAACAGATTAGATTATCTGAGCAGAAGTAATCATTTTTCGTTTCGGTTCCGTTGGGACTGGGATCATTTTGCCTTATATCTCGTTAGACTGAAGAAACAAAAAAAGTATGTAAGACACCGGAAGTTTATCATTATACGAACAAGATGATAATAGTCGGAAGGATATTTTTAACTTCAATGTTCATTATAACATTGAAATAATACTATTAAAGATATATCCTATCGAGAATTTCTCTAGTAAGTGATATGAAAAACAATTGAAATACTTTTTTCTTGTAAGACACATGTGTGATGATTATGCTATTCGGCATTTTTTATAAACTACGGTATGACTCCGGGCAAGTCACTAATGCTTGTTTGTCTCGGATCACCTGTCCGATAGCATGCCGACTAAGTTGAAACAAACACATATACTCGTGCCTAGTCAATGTTTACAGAAAGCTTAAACAACTGAACATTAAAACTCTGCCTCAGATCAGTCTTCTGTCTAGAAGTATAGCTAATCATAGTTCTAAAGAATTTATCAAGCCAATGAATCTATCGCTAAGCAGTACCACATATAGTGCGGCAAGGATATTCTTCATTTATCCTGTGATGGACATTGTTGATATAAGATCAGAGATTAACGCTTCGTTAGAATATATGAACTACTTCCTTATTGCATTTCTAGAGAGAATGGTAAAGCAATGTGTCCTAAAATAAATAGAATAAAGCAATTTCCGTATGATTAGCAACAGCAGTAACATTGTGTTGCATATTTTAATCCCGTAGGGATTTTACTACCAGATGTTTTCTTTGTCCTTTTGACTTTTCTTACTAAACGTTATTTGAACATCGGGGCAAGTATTTTTTTTCTTTTAATTATTATTATATTAAATATAGTCAAGTAGAAATATTTCGAATTTTAAATCTAACCTTATTTCTGTAATCATTGATGCTGTTGATGTTGTTGTTAATATGATTGATGCTAGTTTTTTTCTCCATCGTCTTGAATATGCTCGTGTTCTTAGTAAAGATCGTTTATTTAATCTTGGTGATAAATCAACATGAATATCAAGACTTGTTTGAAAACTAATTGGTTGTCCCCAATCAAATGCAATAATTTGTAAATTATAAATAATATTTTCATTAATATTTTCTTTATTTTTTAAAGTTAATATTCCATTATTTGGATCAATATAAAATGGACAATTATTAAAACAATTCCATAGACGATATGTAACACGTCCATTTGTTTGTTTATTTTGATCATAATCATATGCATCAAATTGATATGGTAATTGAAATAAATCTGTTGGTGTATTATTACGAAACATAGGACGATATTTATTTATTTCTCGTACATGAATTTCAATTGTTGTTTCAATTGAATAACGACGATTAAATAAATGTATATTAGCTTGTATATCAAGTGTATATATTCGATATTCTAAACGTTCAGCAAGACGTAAAATACCTGTTTTTGAATTAATATAAAATTGATAATAAACATCATCATTTAATAATTTATAATTAATTATTAATGATTGTTCATAAGAAAATTGATTATAATCAATTTGTATATGTGTTATAAATGAATCAACAGGTAAATTTTCATCGAGATAAATTTTTTCAATTGATTTAAAATGAAATTGATAAAAATTAAAATCAATAAATGGTATATAACGATATTTAATATATTGACATTGATAATGTTGATAAAAACAAATAAATAATTGTAAATTATATTCTTCAATTAAATATTTATTTAAATAAATATTATTATTATAAATAAATAAATTTTTTGTATTTAATGATGAATTATTTAATAAAAATATTTTAAAAAATTTTTCATTAAAATTTTTTATATTTATTGTTAATATTGGTTGATGTATATTTAATAAATGAAATGATTTTCTTTCTAATATTTCAATATCATATATTGATATTATTTTTTCATATTGAATTGTTTGATTAAATATTGTTTGAAAATTTTCATTTAAATTATTATTATTATTATTATGTAAAAAATTTAATTGATTAAAATTTAATTTAACATGTGTTTTAGTTTTCATATTATTATCAACAGTACGTTTACGATAACGATCATATGCATAGATATCAAATTCATACGTAGATTTTAAATTTTCTTTCGTTATTAAATATAATTCACCTGTATATGGATGTAAGGAAAATGTTTCATTTAATGATGATGCTAATTCATAAAATATTTGTGCATGTTGAATTTCATCAGCATCACTTGCATGAAATTGTATTAGTGATTGATCAATATCGATTGTTTGAGTATAGTTTTGTTCGTAGATATCCATATCAAATACTCCATCATTATCATTCGAATCAGCAACATAGAGACGAATCTATTTAGGACAATGAATAAAGAAAATGGTTTTATAACTTTGATAAAATAAAACTCTTACTTCTGTTTGCTCAGTTAGATTTTCTTGTGTCGTAATAATATTTGCTTCAATACGAAGTGTATAAACATCTTGATATTCTCGATTAATATCAAATGGACGTGTTATATTAATAAGAAGAAAATAGAAGTCAGCTAGACGTTTAGTTTTTATTTGAAATAAACCATTATTATTATCATCAATAAGATAATAGGTAACAGATTTAATATTTAATGTACGATAAATACCTATGGGTATTCGATTTGGATAGAGAAATAATGAATTTGATAGAATATTTTCTTGACACCATAATTCATAATTCGATTTTGTGAAATAAAACGTTTTATTATCGGCAATTATAATTGTCAATAAAGTAAAAAGTATTGAGATATGTAATGAAGACATACATAGGAAGATTAAAAAACAAATGATTTCGAAAAAACTTTTCAAATAAATATAAAATCTAAAAACAAAGTATAAAAACAAAAAAAAAGAAAATGTAGTGCCATTATCAAATTCTCAAGACACATATGTATACACACTCATCTATTCCAATGAGAAAGAAAAAAAAAAAAAGATGTGTGTATACTAGACCGGCGATGAACTGGACAATTGTTCGTTTGTAAGAAAGAGAGCGAGGGAGAGAAGAAGAAGAAGAGAAGAGAAGAGAAAAATACATCGACGACCGTCTCTTTCTATCGTCGCCCGTTTTGTTCAACTTCTATTCTTTTTTTTTGTTCTTCTTCTTCTTCTTCTCTTCTGACTCTCTCTTTATTCGGAATATGTGAAGCAAGTAAAGCGAAAGAGAAAAAAATGCTGGCGGTATGTGTCAATGAGCTAATTAGGAGTACAAATCGTATCACGGCAAATATCTAGTTCAATGAAAGAAGAAAAGAAACAAAAAAAAAACGGATACCACTGCAGGTTTCTTTTCATATAAAAGACTTTATTTTATATTTTATACGAAACATTTTTTTAACAGACACATATACACTGTCAAATTATTGTTGATAAAGATATGAATAGACCAATAACGATGGTAATGGATGAATGTCGACGTGACCATCTTCTACTATCTTATTAATGTCCGTTTGCGTGTGTCGATGTGCAATAGATGTATATGCACTATCTAATAAGACGCGTGTCGAACAAATTACTACCTTCACTATTCGGATGGGTCACCTTGATCCATTGAATAGGGTTGGACGAGACATCTTTATCGATATGTTAGTCGCGTCACACACCATCGTTTCATATTTCTTCTCTCTTGTACTATATATCGATTGTTCAGACACCCATTGAACATGAGAAATTCTATGTCTGCTATTTCTTTGTTTACCTATAAAACAAAAGCATGCAAGAACAACGAATGTTTTATATTATACAGTCTCATATTAGAACTACTTATTGACTGACCAGTATATATATAAGATGTATATATATGAATTATAGTATAAGCAATAATGGATAACAAAAAAACTAACAATATATCTTATATCGATTTCTATCTATTCGCACCAGAGCGACATGATGCGAGATGATAATTTTCTTGTTAGTCACACATATCTCTGAGGGATATAACATTGCATGTGTCATATTTATCACCTGTTCAGTGATTAAACTAGTGTGAAAAGCTTGATTATATTAGTTATTTAAAATATGAACATGTATGAAATTTTTAATGAGCGTTTTCAAACTTTTGTTTTTTTTCTTTTCTATTAGATTCAATATATAAGAACACTAGTAATTTTTAATAATATTTCATATTAATTTACTATTGAATTAGAAAAGTCATCTAACTTATTGTTTTTTATATATATAATTTCTTTTGTACATAATTTAATTTCTCGTCATGAAACGACTAATAATATTGACAATGAAATGGCGCGTTTTTTTTTCTTCTGTGCATGTTTGTGAAACCTTTTTCATTTTTGTTTCATTTAAATTCATTTAAAAGTCTAGAACGAGAAAATAAAATTTGTGCATGTTTAATTTCATTCACTAGTCTACTTCTTAACGAATTCCATTATGAACACAGGCTTCTCAATTGTACAACTAAATAAGCACTCAACTAAGCACTTCTTTCTTTTTTTTTTTTTTTTCATCTCTTTCATCGCTCATCATGATCATCATCATCAATAGAATAAAAAAAAAAATGGACGAAGAAAAGTTGGTCGGTCGAGGGTCAATTTCATGATATGATAGTAAAAGATGAGAGAGTCTGAAGAAACAAAAAAGAAGAATAAGAATAAGATACGTACGTTAACCGTTAAAGTAACATATGTAGGTTTATGATGCAATAATAATGAATTTAGTATAGTGATGGTTGAGAAGCATCGCTTTATAATCCTATACGACGTGCACATCCGACCGCCTTTTGTAACTTCGTTTTACGAAGCCTATGCGAGTGCCTGCACTATCAAGGATATGCGTTATATTCGATGATGATAAGATTACGCAAGGGGCTCTTGCGCACGATCGAACAAGCGAAAAAATGAATGAACATGAGCATCTATTCTTCTTCCTATTTTTTTTTTTTTTTTTTTTTTTTTGATGTTCACCGATTATGTATATACCTATGTATTTGTTATAGATTTATAGACCGGCACCATTACTAGTTTTATGTGAAGTGAATCTCTCAAAAGGTAGTGATCATCAAATTCAATGTCACAGCATGAATTCTACCGACATATGTCGATAGATAGGCAGGTGATGTGATAATAGACAGTGTGAAAAAAAAAGTCGATTAGCATAAAGTGATTGCTAGTGATGACCGGTGGACGATCATCATAAATCATTGTACATGCCGTGAAGATTGTTTAGGGTCAAGGCTGGATTGCTTGCATGACAATGATTAAAGCACCATGTGTGTGTGTGTGTGTATGTGTGCATGTATGTATGTATAAGCAAATTAAGCGTTAGAGTTCGAAAGAAAAGCTATAATGTCTCCATCGTTGTCATTTCCCTTAGGACTCACAGAATTCTCTAATCTAGAAATAAGAAAAAGACACCTGATCATGTATGTGACTATCAATTTTCGTATATGTTGCATGCTGAGTGATGATCGATTGTGAACGGATCTAACTAACATTAGCTTGTATATTTGTGACCGCTCAATTGACATTTTACACACCAAAGAGAAATGAGAAAGAATCGAATAACTAAGTAAGGAAGAAGCAAACAGATGGCGGCCATCCCCAACCCTATCCCATACATTGTCAATCAATTCAAGGAAAGAGTAAGAGAAAAAAAAAAAGTAAATGTACCATACAATAACCAAATCCATGGTTGATTATTTATTTGTTCAATAATAAAACAAAACTGATTTTTGATTTTTATACAAACAAACAATAAGTAGTACTTGCTGCTGTTGCATGTATATATACTCATCACTTGATAGTTTTTCAGAAGGTCAACATGTTGTTTGATGACAAGAAAGACAAAAAAAGGAAGTCTGCCGTAAATTATTAGTTTCTTTTTTTTTTTTCTTCTTCTTTTTCTTCTTTTGCTTCTTTGTTTGGCTTTGCATATGAACGTGAGGTCGACCGGATGTTTAACGGTCACACATATTAAAGTGTTCAATCAAAAGGATTGATATGTGACAAAACAAAAAAAAAAAAGAAAGAAAGTTAAATTAAAAATAATCAACAGATTAAAAAAAAACAGGATTTGAAACCTTTTAACATCTATTTTGTATTCTTTGACAAAAAAAATAAATAATCGTTAAACATATAAATTATATTTCGTTTCTTTTCATTCGATTTCGTTCATTCATTTTTGTTGATGAAAATTTTTGTTTTGATTTACAACAATAACAACAATAAGAATAATTACCAAGTCGTTTCTTTTTTAATTTTTTATCATTTATTTTAGGTTTTTGTTTTATTGTATTATGTAAAGAAATTATATCATTATTTATCAATGATGGATGATTGATGAATGATTTTGTTTGTATAGATGATGATGGAATATCATTCATATAAGAAATATCATTTTCATATTTAGATATTTGTTGTTGATAATTACCAATAGGTATTTCTAATGAATGTTCATTTAATCCTATGTAACTAGCATCATCAAATGATGGTGATATATTACGTTTATTTGTACGACGACATAGACAAAAGAGGCCCAAACAAAAGAGTAAAATAATAATTGTGAGAGTTGCAATTAAAATAATGAAAATAGTGTCTGAAAGAAAACGATCAGATATAGTTGTCTGAGCAATAACTTCATTTTGATGCATAATAAATGTGCTTGTTGAAGTAAATATAGTACCAATTTGATAGTAATGAATTTTATTTGATGATAATAAATCATCATGAATAGAATCGAATTTTTTTTTAAATAAAGAATCAATCTTAGAAAAGAAAAAAAAAAAAAGAGACTAGATTGATATTTTTATAAGAATATTTTAAATTAAATTTATACAGGTGTTAATGTATTAAATTGAAATGGATATGTAAAATGTATAGAATTTTTTTCATTAAAAATTCTCTTTGTTGTCTGTTTGTCATTAATAATAGGATCTGGAATCAGTTGTGAAAGAGGTGGAGATAATGGTTGTTGAATATGAATGACAGAAGATAGAGTATCTGTTTTATTTGTGTTAATAATTAAATTTTTGATTGGAACTTTTGATGACAATAATTGTTGTTCATCGAGAAAATTTCTTGGTACAATTGATAGTTGTTGTTTAGAAACGATAACTGGTGATGATGATAAAAGATGTTGTTCATGGTTAGATGCCTAATCAATGGTATTGATTATTCACTTATGGTTATTAATCAAGTTTGTCAATGACAGATAAGCTAATGTTTTTACAGATGTGATCAGTAAAAAAAAAAAGACTACAACCACATATTTATGTTATATATCGGATAAAAAAGAAAATCTTTTATCGACTTTTAATTATATATTTTTTCTTATGTACTGATTTTCTGTCAATTTTTTTTTGATTTATTACTCATGTAATTTCATTGTTATAAAACTGTTCGATCATATCAGATTAGAACATTTCTGTTAGTTTTTATCAGATAAGAAATAAAATTATGTAATCTTATGGGAGAGAAGAAAAAGTAAATTATAGAAAACTATGTGAAATTTGCTTGATTAATGACATGTTCATAAAAAGTTGATCACATCTCGATGTTAAATAATCAAAATTCTTCTCACTAGTATCGTCATTTTTTGATGATCGATGGTATTTATTATTGATTGTGTTTTAGATGAAGATATGATATTTGTTTGGGATTTTATTTCTCTATTAAATCTTGGTTTTTGTGATACTAAAGGAATATTAATATTCGAAGAATCGAACTAAAATTTTAGTTTTTTAATAAAACAAAAAAAAAAAAAATTCTATAAATAGCTTACTGAAAAAAATTTCATTTCATTGTTTGATAATGATTTTTCATCATTTGAAGAATGTATTATATTTTCCTATGATTTTGAATAAATAAATTTATATGTTAATAATTTCTAAGAATTATCTCACAAAATTATGTTCATTTTGAATATTTTTCTTTGTTAATAAAGTCGATTCGATTGGCATTAAGATTTTTATTCAAGGCTTATTCTTATTTTTTGTATGTTCAAATATAAAATATACTCTACTATTATTTATTAAATATTGTATATTCATTAATAATTCAATTAAAATCATATTCTATAAATTATTTGTTTTTTTTTTTGTATAAGATAATATATCGAATTGAGATTTATTTTAAAACCATACATAAATACAATAAGATTATATATGAAAATGATGAGAAGACGGATGAAAAAAGTAATACAAATATTTCTGTTGGTATATATATATATATATATTTTTCTTCTTTTAGTGAATATAGATATACGAAAAAGAAAAACGCGCAAGAATAATAATTCAAATTCGAATAATGAATTAATTTTTATTGTTGTTGCTTTAAAACTAATTTATTGTTATTAGAATAAAGAAAAAGAAAATTAAAATCTTGTATATATAATTAAAATTACATTATTATTCTTTCTTTTCAAGGTTTCTTTTTTCGGTTCCTAACAATAGTGTCAACACTCACTTATCGATTTATTCATCTGTGTATAATACTGAACACATTTATTTGCTTGAATCAAAGTAAAATGAAAAGAGGTTATATCAGCTATTTCAAGTAGGTGTGCATATTATTTTGAGATCAAAGAGAATAACTATATGCAATATATAAAAATTTGAAAGAATTCGATAATGCATATATAATAATCAAATTTATATTTATATCGATTCAAAATTTTCATATGAAATGAAATAAATCTTATTTATTTTTTGAAATATATTTATTCTAACAATTTACTTTTGCTTGTATACGGAAGAATAGAAGAAGAAGAAAATTGTCTGCGTATAAGGCACAACATGTCATAATATTTACCTTTCGATTGCTTTTATACAGACTTTTTTTTTCTCTTTCTTTTGTAATATAACTTGTGAGTTTGTTTTTCATTCTCTATACCTTATATCATCTAATATGAGTAACGTTACTTTTGCAAATCGTATGATATCTACTAATCGTAATATTCGACAACGTTGTCAATTAAAATATTCCAAATATGGTATATTTAATTGGGTAGATAAGATTAATTTTTTTTTTTCTAAAATCTTTCCTTTTTCTTTTTCATTTTCGATCATAAAAATTCAAGGATAAATGGACTGAATATGATTGTATATTTTCTTCGTTTATTGATGTTAATGGTGTTCAACAAAATCAACTTGAATTACATTCAAAATATAATATTAATGAACCTAATGGTAAAATAATTGATCTAAGAAAACTTCGTTCATTAACTTCTGTACATGGAGATATAAATAAAAATGAACCAAAAGATATAATTATGCTTAAAATAGATGGAAAAAGACATCGATTAGGTTTTGATAATATATATGAATATAATCAATGGAAATCTCTTCTTGATGGAGTATTTAATTCTGCATGGGATTTAATAAATAAAGATCATCCTGATGAAAATACAACTGTAAATATGCTTTATGAATCTGCTACAGGTAAGCAAAAATAGAAATAGGAAAGAATATTTGATTACGTGACAATTTTCTTTTTCTCTATAAAACATCTTTTGATTTAATTTTAAATATTGATATAATAAAAATGAGAGACGAATAATAAAAAACCTTGAATTTATTGCTCAAAAAAAGAAATGTTTACTAAAGAGGAAAGACAATCATCTTCATATTACTAATTAAATTTGTATTTCATATTGAAAAAGAAAAAGACTTTACATGTGAATTTAAATATATAACAAGTAAAACTTAGGTTAGAAAATTAATTAGTTATATAATTAAAATATATAATTCTTTGTTTTCCAAAGATAAAGTTTCACTAGCTCATATTTTACTTATTTTATACAAAACAAATATCAAACAATCAGATTGGCCATGAATAGACTTTTGCGGGACATATTTTTTTTCGAATCCTGAATTTCGTTTATTCCTTCTGAAAAACTTTTAGGACAATTCTGAATATATCTCGCTAAATCTATTGTAGTTTAAATCAATAATTAAATGTTAATATTGTTCTTTGATTGTTGTTTTTTTTTTTTTTTTTTAGCAATGCGATATCGTGTTCATTTTGCTGATTTAGCAACTCAAGAAATTCTATCTTTACCAAGTGGTGTATGTGAATTAATATTTGATACAGATAAATTAGTTCTTGAACAACATAATGATAAACAATATACATTTCCACGTTCAACAATTCGTACAATACGTTTAATAAATGATCGTGATATTGAATTTGAATTAGGTACACGTGCACCTGTACAAGGTTTTATACGTTTTCGTTTTGAATCGTTTATTGATGCACGTTCATGTTATTTACAATGGAATGAAGGTATTACAACAACAGATACATCTTATCGAGAATCAGGAGAACTTTTATCTTCAAAACATAATCCACAACAAACAGAATGTAAATATTTAATAAAAAAAAAAGAAAATTAGAATTCGAACTTATTTGTATATATTCATAGATTTAGTACCTCCACCACATATTCCATTACGACAAAAACATAGTTATCCACCATCACGTCCACCAAGAAGTGTATCAACAAGTATTTGATGTTTTTTTTTTTTTCATTGTAAAATGAAAAAAAGAAAGCTCTTCTTTTTTTTTTCAGGAAGTCCATATTATAATATGGACTCACCAGTATCAACAATAAATGTACCTCAAAATGAATATACAGCATTTCAAACACTTGTCTAGAGATCTTTATTATATTCAGACTATTGAAAGATGTTGTTGTTTTTTTTTTCTTCTTATTCATGAAATTTTTTAATTGCTAGATGTTTCATTTAGTCTTGAGATAAGATAAAAAACTTGTAATATCAATTATTTATATGATTTGTTCAACTATTTAATCGGTAGTTATTCGTTTCACTGTTTTATCCATAATGGTGTTGTTTCAGAAGAAGTACTGATAAAATAATTATACAAAGAAAAAGAGTATTGATCTTATACATATGCTCATGTTATGGATAGAATAATCAGATACATTTCACTTTATTGAGAATATTTTAATCAGCTAAGTGATTGTTGAAAGAAAAGTAAGAATAGAACGAATCGAAAAATCATACTTTTGACTCTCTGTAATGATAGTTTTGAGTAGATAAGATTAGTATCTTTGTTTTTTTTTTTATTTGACTAAAGTTTGAAAAGAAAAGAAGATATAAATATAATGAATCAATGCATTCTATTGACAATCAATATTTAGTTTGACTTATATGTCGTTGCTTCTTTTACTTTTTGATAGTTACTGCAAGGTCTCTATTCAATGCTTTAGCATCTCTTATTTGTCAAGCTATTGAAAAACTTGTGCAAGGCGTATAATTCACTAGTAAACATTGTAAAGATGTATTTTGCCTTTAAGTAAAAATGACATCAAAGAAAAATTTTATTTTATTTTTTTCAAATTTTATACATCATATATTTCGAAGACAAGACAATAAAATACTGATAGTTCATAAGGGTCTACACAGATAACATAGAATTAGTTGTGAATCATCATATGATTCGAGTTTTTTCAATAGAATTTCTTTTAATGTCTACGTCAATGAACATTCGATGGTCAAGAGTAAATTAACTTGTAATGTTTCTATTAAGTCTTAAAAGCTTTTCAGTAATATTTCTTATATTTGATCATAGTCACAGAACATATTAATCATAGTTTGAATTTTATCGCAGTTAGATCTTGAATAAGAACTAATTAGTTTAATTATGTCTCTTGCTTTGCTAATCAACATTTCCTGAAAAAAATCTTTAGAGAAATGTTTGCAAAAACTTCTCAAGAAATCATAAGAAGAATTCTGCGGAGAACTCCCCTGGAATTCACTGAAAAATTGCAAGAAAGTATATCAGAAATTTATGATGAGGTATACATCTATTGTAAATAAACAATTGTAGATAATTTTATTGATCATTCTATTCATACATGTCACTCATCGATGATGTAACTGATGACTTATTCTTTCCTACTTCTTTCTTTAATAGAAAAATGTAATTTATATTCTAAAAAATAGTGCTTACTGTTGAAGTTGCCCTTAACAGTCATCTAAATAAATAGAATAAAATCTTCTTTGTTTTTACAATTGATACCTATTTGAATTTTCTACTCAGTTCCAAACGTACAAATTTAAGTATTCTCACATAAATTCTGCAGAGAATCACCGAAGATATTTCATGCACTTGTTATTTTTATTCATTCATTCAGAAAATTGAAGATTCATAGAAAGTTCTCTGTGAACTTTCAAGTATTGACGAAAGAATATTTGTTAATTTTTAAATATAATCCATTTCTTTGCTCAGTGCTGTATAGATATGCTAATCACGTCAATTAGCATACACTAGACTATGTTTAAAGTAAATAAATACTGCTGAAAATTAACTTTGAACATTAATATAGAGAAATTTTTGTTTTCTAAAATTATAGTTTTCCAAGGAATATCTCAAGAAGTCACTTGAGAGTTCTTGACAATTGTAAAATTTTGACAAACTTCCTACGAGGTTCACTAGTGATTGTGTAAATATGAATCGACTAGAATTCAATCCTAAAGATATCCTTTCATTGTCTCGAATGATCTATTCTATGAAATTTTTTAGAGAAGAAAATAGTTGTGGTCAAATAGTAATAGATTCGTCATATGTTATTGTGCAAAAAAAGAATTTTATTGGCGAAATTCAAATAGACGCCTTTCACATCAAAACAGCAGATATTTATATCAAATATTAGTTGGAATTTACAAAGAAGTAACATAATACAATTGAAACATACTTAAGTTATTACATACGAACAAGAAAATTCGTACAGAAAGAAACCGAAAGAAAACAATCCGTAGGGTGAAATACCAGACAGAAAGTAAGAAAAAGATAACCATTATAAACAACATGTATATTTAAATAAAAAAACAGAGAAAACGAAAGCATATGAAGAATATCTTTAACATAATTTCTGTTTCAGGTATTGTTTGTCTGTCTTAAGTACGTGTCATAACGAATATTTTCTATAATAAATTTAAAAACAAAAATAAAACAACAAAGTTTTGCCATAGAAAACAAAACAACCGGTTGATTTTCTTTTTTTCATTTAATATATCACACTGTACATGGTACACGTTTTGTTAATTTTCCATTAAGAAATAATATTGAACCATCTCTAGTCGCTTTTAATTCTCTTTTTCTACCAAATATATTCCAAAAATTAGCTAAAGAACTATTATTATTATTATTATTATTATTATTATTATTATTATTATCATTATTTCTGATTGTATTTATTGAAGATTTATCACCATGTAAATAACGAAATCTATTTGGTAATATAGGACTATTATTAAATGATAAAAATGGTGATTGTCTTGGAGATGATCGATTAGATTGATGATTTCTTTCATTTTTATATCGTTTTGTATATAATGTTGTTAAACGTCTAGATGATATTTGTGAACATCTATTATAACGATTATTTTCAATTGAATAAAGTGATCCATGACGACTTGATGATTGTGCAACATGATGTATCATACCAGCACGTACACTAAGACCCATACCATTGATACCAGCACCAGCAGCAAAACCTCGTTGATTACCAAAACGTGTTGGAAAAAATAATCGAACAAATTCACGACGAAATATTCGTCCCGTTAATGCATATAAAAAAAAATTACATGAATGATTAACATATTGACATAATTCTGCAACAGCTTTACCAATAGCTAATGGTGTTTCATGATAACCGGGTTTTGCTATACTTTGTACTATTTGCATAAGTGACATTGGTGCAGAAAAAACACAAAATGCAATACTAACAGATAAAAGCATAAATGTAACACGACGACCAACTCGTGTATTACTTGTTAGTAAATTTGTTTGTGTTGCACTAACAGCTAATGTTGATGAATGTGTTGTACAACTTGGACTTGATGTAGCTGAATATTGTCGATAATTATGTAATGGACGAAGATTTTGTAATTGAGCACTTATACCTTCAGCACGAAAAACTCGTTGAATTATAAGTATACTTAATATAAGTAAAATACAAAATGGTATAGCAGAATATTTTAATGCATCAATGAAAACAAATATTTTTCCAACAAAAATTCTTGCCCAAATTTTTGGATGACATACACGATAATGACCATCGATTATTTCTAATTCTAATGTTAATAAAAAATGTCCATCAATTAATGCAAATACAATAAACATAACGAATAAAACCTATTGAGAATAATAAATGAAAAAATTTTTGTGAAATTAAATTACAATTTAATTCAAACAATAGTATGAATTTCAATCGAAGAAGACAATAGAAACAAATTGTATTAGGATTTTCATTATTGCTTAAGTAGGATTTTACAAAATTTATGCATGAAATAACGAATTCTAATTTTTACTGCGATAAACAATTAAAAAGAAAAACAACAAATGATAGAAGAAATAAGTTTTCTTTTTTTGTTTTAACAATCAAACTAAATATTGCAGATTTGTAAAGAAAACAAAAAAAAAAACAACAATTCATTTTGATCATCGCATAAATACATACCATATGATTAGTAGAATGGGAATATAAACAACGAGAAGATCCGCACCCATACTCTATTCTTGTTAAGCTTCATTTGAACTATCTCGGATGCTTTCTTTTCTGATGATCTTTTCATTTGTAAATAAATATTTATTATTTCGTGCTTATTTTCAGAATTCCGTCAAAGTAGGACCATTCAACAGTTTTCACAGCTAGGTGGATTAGTACATGAATACTTACAGAAAGCGAATTTATGATACTTTAATTTCATTGACAGGTCAAGTGTTTTGCACATTTATGAACGGATTCAAATGTGAAGTTTAATAAATAGTTTAATGCCAACTGTGTTATGTTTCTGTGTGTATGATAAATAAACGAAGTAGAAAACAGATGCTTTAAATTTGCAACACACTTTACAAGTTTCACAAAACAAACAAGGGTTTCTTTTTTCCAAAATATTCTTTATTGTTATAAATACAACATCCATGAACATGCTATATTTTCAATGAATTACTATGAAAAAATATTATTAGTCTTCTGTCTTATTCATACAATTAAACGTACGATATAGAACAGAGCTGTTAAACAAGCTGCCCTTTTCTCGGTTTGACCAGACTCGGTGATCTGTAGGGCAAAGTAAGTCGCTTGGTGTTTTTGTTTTTTTTAAATCTACTAAGCTCTATGACTTCATTATAATGTACCATTTTCGTTTCAGTTATACAATCTATAATGATTAACTCTTAGATAAAATAGTAAATTCCAATAAAGAAATAAATCATCAATAGTATTTCTCATGCAAGAATAGACCTGCAACAGCTCTCAGTTCTATAAACCGATTCCTTTTCAAGAACTAGGGTCAATGAACCAGGAATGGGCGAGTCAAGCCATTTTTCGAGTCGAGTCGCGTCAATTTATTTTCTCCATTTTTGCGTTTTCTGTTAATTTCCATAAAAAAACGTTAACAACTAGTTTTTCATTAAACGATATCTACTCCCTAGTTTTTATTCGCGAAAAATAAGAACAGTCACGCATAAAAAAATACGGCACAAGTACTCTAGATTTATCAACAAAATAAGAATAGTAAAATCAACTCTTCTCTTTTATACAGTTCTATATCACAGTAAGAAAATTGTCATTTTTCATAACAAAAATCTAAACTGGAAGCTGTTTACAAGCAAGAAATATTTATTAACATTTAAATTGTTGCCTTATTGCATTTCAAAGAAACTCAGGTCGACGCTGTTCGACAGGATCCTGTTGAAAGTTATGGGAAGTTGTCGGATATCGGAAAGTATCGGAATGCAGGTGTTCCGACAGCAATCGCGGTCATCCGGCAACTTCCAACGGATTCTTCTCGGATCCGACAAAATTCGATGGTTTTCTCGATAGGATTCGATGGAATCCGTCAGTCGAATCACTCGACCTGGATATGTAAAAATACAAATACTACTTGGTAAAGAACTTGAACGCTGTGATCTCATGAAAAGACCGCTTTGAGAAAACACACGTTCAACTAGTGCTGATATAGCAGAAGCACGTATGATTCTATTTAGCAGGACTATTATTAACGACCATATGAANATATGTAAAAATACAAATACTACTTGATAAAAAACTTGAACGCTGTGATCTCATTAAAAGACCGCTTTGAGAAAACACACGTTCAACTAGTGCTGATATAGCAGAAGCACGTATGATTCTATTTAGCAGGACTATTATTAACGACCATATGAATACATAGGTAGGAAAAAGCTCTTGAAAAATTATTTTTATGCAATATATTCAATTAGAACGAAAGTTATAAAATAAATGATAATTTAATTTTATAAATTTGTATTGTTTTTTGTAAGAGTAAAGGAAAACTTTTTTGAGTGAAAGACTCGAGTCAAACAGTCGAGTCAACGTCTCCCAATCTTCGAGTCCGAGTCAAGTCAGAGTCATCAAAAAAAAGCGACTCGAGTCCGAGTTTTGACTCGGACTCGTCCATCCCTGCAATGAACAGTTCTTTTTCGAGAACTACGTCAAGTGAATAGTTCTTTTATGAAGTAATTGCAAATCTAATGAGTAAATGAAAATAAGATGTTTGGTGACATCAATTCATGCAATAGGAACTGTTGGAAAAGTTTTCAAGATCGAAACTGATATGTAACTGTCGTAGTTCTATACAAGAAACATTCGATTTATCGAACTGTTGTTAAATGTATCAGTACTATTTCATTAAATTCAAAAAAGAAGTAATTATGATGGAAAAAACAACATATGAGCAGGTATATAATGAAGAAGTAAAACAGTATGAATTACTACGTTTAAAGAGATGACCAACGTTCATACCCTAAAAAAATCATCAACTTTTGGTTCTATCTTATATTTCAATCTATACTAGGGAAAATAATATTACATTACACACAGATCAACAACTTTAGTCTAGCCTGATAGCCTGTGAAGCAGCCAACCAGACTGATAGCTCTTCTATAGACTGAGAAAACCTCTTAGGAAGGAAATACTTCTTCAGTCAATGGAAACACTAAACCACAAGATTCCAGAATCCTGTTATTTCTATCATGAGATTTAGTCTTATCTTTACGTATATCTCAACAATGACTTATAATTATATTATCTCTCAAATGAAAATAAAGATATAAAATATGAGTTAGTTCTATGCAAAAAATATTGATTCGTTAACTGATCAGTTTTCTTTCGTAAATTTGACTTTGTTAGACATGAATAAGACCCTTATGAAATTTATGTGGAAAAAAAAAATAAAAATTCATTTTATTTGATGTCAACATGCGCATGGTCAATAAAAACAATGTAATAATAATTCACATGATTATTATTTATTTTTTCACTAATTTTATTGTTGGTCACCTAAACAAATGTGTTCACAGAGAATGATTTAATTCAATTATTCTCAGTATAAAGTTCAACACTTTGTTATACGATAGTGGATGATGTACGTCCACGCCTCTTGTAACGTTCAATATCCATTGTCTTAGAAATAAGCTAAAATGTTAACAAAATTGTTGTTCAATTTTCAATGTTTGAGTTTTACACTAGTCTATTTGCATCCCACAACGACAAAAAAATGTACTCGAAAACTTTTTGACGTTTTCCATTTTGTAGAGCTTTTTTTGATTGATCATTTCAATCGAGGGAACTTTTAATTTTCATCAATAAATGAAGGTTCTGGACTAAAAGAACCATGAAAAACGTCAACTTATGCTCGAGTTCTGGAGCAATTCAACTATTTCCGTTAGTTTTTGATTTGTAGCATCTTACTTTGTTGATGAAAATCGGAAATTACTTTTATAGACATAATCAATGGAAAAAAGCTCTACAAAGTGTAATCTATCAAAAAGTTTTTGAATACTCTAGTGTTATTATAATTGACTACTGATAGAGTGTACCCGAAAAATAACCAGATCAATTTTTTTGATTGAAGTAAATAGTACTAGATTTCAAGTGTGTCAATAAATTGATGACATATGAAAAAAACTTGCAAATTTTTTTACACCATCAAGAAAGAAAATAAATTAGTTTATTCCATCAAAATACATTGAAGATATTTCATTAATTTTTTTCAATAGGTTATTTCTGGAACATTCAATACGTGTGTGTTCATATGAATGTCGACATCAGATAAACAAATTTTAGATATGTGCTAGAAATGAAATCATATATATTTTATAATTTTGTATAAATAGAAATAAAAATAGTGTCGATTGTCTTATCATTTTGTCTACTGTTGTGATATAAAACAAAATATTAGTTAATAGAGTATATCTTTCTTTTTATAGTAAATCTTAAAGCTTATAGCGAACAATCTGATTATACAGGATAGATCATAAATAGCACTACGATAAAAAATTGAAATGTATCCGATTCGATTCACTCAAGTAAAGTGATTTATCCGTTAGTTGTAGAAGTTTATTCAAAATCTGTGTTTTTTTTTTCATACGAACAACGTAAAGAAATACTATTGTCAAATAATAAAAATACGTATGAAGTGTTTCATAGATAATTTTCAGTTGTCATCTAAGAGAATAACAAGAACAAATCAAAACGAACTTTATACATGATACGATATTGATACACATAAAATAAATTTTCAAAATTATTTAGTTTAGATGTTGAAATTCATGCCCTATTTCAGCTCTTTGGGCATCAATGTTCTTGAAAAAAATCAATGTTCCATGTTTGAAAATTCAATACTTTCTAACCGTTGGCTTTTAAACTAACTAGTTCTGAAATTTTGCTCTATATGCATCAATTTACTTTCATTTCTAAAGATCGTTTTAATTTCTTCTTCTTATTCTTTTAGGTGACTTTTCAAAAACCAATTTCATGAGAGATACATTCAAATCTGCCTGAAATTTAAAGAATATACAAGGAATATAGTGGAAAGGTTAGAGTAAAATTTTCAGCTCTATAATTTTATGCTTGACAGTGATGTTCACCAGACAAGGTTAAAGAATAGCTCATTTGGCAAACCAAATTTTTGTCCGCACAGTACAAAGTCTTTTTTCTGTTTAATTCTAACATTTTAAGCAGAGAAAAAGTATGACAATATTAATAACTAAAACAACTCTCTAAAAAATGAATGTCTATTTATATAAGCATTTGTATATATAATAAGAAACAATGGTTAATAAAAAAACAAAGGACTTTATACTGTAGTACGTCTTGATATGCTTTTTTTCGAGCAAAAAAAAACAAGTAAATGTATAGAATAAGGACCTACAGATAATTCTTGGTTGCAGGATCAAAAAGGTATTACCAGAGAAAAAAACGAAAAACTTTTCTCGTTTCAGCTTGTATTTTAAGTAGGTGACGACAGAAATCATCAAAAATTTTGGCAAAAAAAAAGGAGGTGCCGAATAAAAAACCCATGTCATTTATAAAAGATTAAGCCTTGAGCTATCTTCTCATTCATTTATCTTAGTTTTATATTCTTTTGAGAGGAAGAAAGTCTTTAATGACGCAAAGTATGTAACTTGATAGCAGTATTTGTTTATATTATCCGTATGAAAAAAAAATTTAAATACGCTTCTACGATTAGCGAAAAAATCAGCCTATTCGAGCGAACCGAATCGGAGATATTTCAGTTTTTATTATCATACTGCTTTTTATAGATAACCCTGTACATTGAGTTTTCTTTATGTCAAGTGTGTAGATGAGTGGTGATATTTATATCATTCAGCTTCCATTATTATTTCAATCTATCCGGTTCCGTTAGTTGGAATAATTCTACACTTCTTACTGACAAACTTATTGATACCACGATAATTATGATTCCTATCTGATGATCAATAGCATTCTCCATCCCATCATTATCTCATTTGTTTTTAGCATAGTGCACATTCTAGACTCATTAACAATCATATTTCATGAATTAGAACCAAACAAACAATCAGAAAACATAGGATAGATAAATTTCCTCATTAGATTAAAGTTTATAAATAAGAAAAAAAGCGACTATAATGTAAATAAACTTTTTTTTAATTTTTTCTGAATATTTATACAAATGAATTATTAAAAGAACACTTTTTATAATGCAGACTTTCATCATAATAAGGAACCTTATAAAATATTTATCAAATCATGAATTTGTTCTATGTTACGAAAATAAATTAAGCTACATTAATAATGCAACAATAGTTTTTTTTAACCTTTAGAAAAATAAATTGATATTTACTAGCAAAATTTCCTTAGACTCGAAGAACAAAAAAAAAACGTCGATTGTATTGAAAAAACAATTAATTTAATTTCTTATTATTATTGTTATTTTTTTTTTTCTTTGCTTTTCTATATATTTGTCAATAATAAAATCATAGTAATTTTATCCTTTCATTAGTTTTCTTTTAACAAAAGTCATGTTGAAGTTATCTTTAAGGATAATTAATGTCATTCATCAATAGAATATTCTATATATTAAAAATCTATTCAGAAAAAAAAATCTGACACTTTTCCATAAGTAACATAAATTCATGTTGGTTTTTGCAAGGATTCAAAGAGATTTCATAGATCATCAATTCTATTGTCTTCGTGTTTAAATATAATGACCATGAATATATCCCAGTAGAATTTGACCCAAAATTTTTTAAATGTTAATATACTAACAAAACTATTTCTTATCTTCGGGTACATCTAAAGATTCAAAATCATTACTTGCCTCACAATATCAACCTAATGATACATAATATATACAAAAAAAAAAAGAATTTGAAGCCAATCTATGATGCACTAATAGGCTTTTTTTTCTGATATACCATATGAAATTACAAAAGTATAAAAATTGGAGAGATTCATGCTGTTATTCGATAAGACAACATTTTAAATTATAATCTGAGGATCTATGACATTTGATATATAATTTGTTTCTCTACATCTTAAAGTTAATGAGAACAAAACTTTTGTCAAAAACAAAAAGAAAGATGATGTCATCTGTAAGTGCCATTAGAAAAGAATGAAGTCAATAACAACTAGAACTATTCTATTTACCCATTTTGCACGTTTTGTTGTACACATTTGTGAAGCACGTAATGGACGTGATACAGCAAAATAACGTTCAAATGACATACATACAATAATCCATACACTATAGAGAAGAAAAAAAAAGATGAATAGACATTTGAAATTGAATTTATTTCACCTTGCATCAGCAAAAAAGACAAATAAAAATGGAAGTAATTTACATGTAAAATTTGATTTAGCAACAACAGTTGGTATGTGAATAATATAAAACCATTGATTAAGACAACCTGTCCATAAAACAAGTGTATCCGTAACAGCAAGTGCTGCCATATAAAAACATGTTGATGATACACGCATACGTCTTCGACGCATTACAATAAATGTCATTATATTACATATACTACCAAATATAATTAATATTGGTAATGTTATTATTTCAAAACGATAGATAAATGCCAGTAAGGCAAGACTATGTGTTTCATTATTCATTGGATTATAATTTTGTCTTTTTTATTTCTTCTCTATATCATCTAAATTACTATAAAAAAAGAAAAAAACTTTATAGGATTTCTAATTACAAAAAAAAAAAAAAACAAGATAAACGGTAATCAAAGAATTTATTTTTGCAATTGTAATTTTGATGAAGAGAAATATTTTAAAATTTACTTCAAACTTTTTTATCTTTTCTATATATCAAAATAAATATTCAAGGCAAAATATTTAAAATTTCAAAAATTTAAACAATTCAAATAAAGAAAGAAAAAGTACAATATATCTCAACAGGATAATGAGTATATTCTATTTAAATATTACCTGACGTTCTTCCGCAAAAGAAAACTATATACGCAAAATGATAGTAATCAATATAAAATAAAATCACAAAAGAAATTGAATATTACGTATTCATTCATAACTTTAACAAATTACGCAAATATAAAAAGTAATAGAATTTCTCATATTGCTTCTTTTTGTCTTTCTAGACTAAATAAAACAATTTTCTTCTAGTTTTTCGATCAATGGAGAAGACATACTTTTCTTTCCATGAGTAAAGTATAATTATATAATTATTATTTTTCTCTCTTTATCATTTCAAATGCCCTCGAAAACCCTTTTTTTTAAATGACTTTCATAAATTATAAAGAATAAATACAAAACTTAATTTCTTTTTTTTTTTCTTAATTCAAATAAAAGAATATCTCGTTTATTAACAAAAGATAAATTAGAAGTTTCATTTTGTGGAAGAAAATCTATTTTTCTTTACCACATTGTTTTCCTCAACAAACGAGAGTTTGTCATTTTTTATGTTTGTTTCTACTAAGTAATAATTATATTATTATATACAAAAGCAAAAAACCTCAACTAAATTGCTTGATAACATGTCAATAGATAATATAGCAAAGAAAGAAAGTAAATGACACTTTTTTTTTTTTAGATAAACAAAAAAACAACGAGTAAGTAGTTTAATGTGCTGTTAATTTGTCCTTTTGATAGAAACTATGATAAGCTACATCGAACAAATAAAATCTAAACAATTATTTTAACATGAATAAATATTTTTGTTTTATTAACATTTAATCAAAAAATAAGAAAAAACTACATTTCATTCTTCAATCTTTTTTCGTATTTTCTTTCTCTTCAATAATATTATTAAATAAAAGAAATATTTATTTATTTTTTATTGATAAAATGAGATCTGATTATTTTCATAAATCTGAATAACAATTGTATTCTGTTATTCTATTAATGAATACTATTGATTTATGTATCGAAAAAACAAAAAAATTGTATACTTACTAATCTATTGAAGAAGTCTATGTTTTTCTATTGCTTATTAAACAGGTTATATCTAGAAACAAATAGCAGTAAAGAAAAGAAAACAAGAAGCAAATAAATTCGGTTCTTCTGCTTATCAATAAAAAGCTAATAAGAAAAAAAAAAAAGAGATAATATTTATAAGAAACTAACTAGAAAACATATTAGATCTGTTGAACCCAGGAGATTGGTTGTTTTCATTTAATAAGCATGTCTCTTTACTGATTTCATTTGAACAAGAATTCTGTTGGTCTTTTTTAATCATATATATAATTATATGTATATATATTTCTTTATCAATTATTTCTATATCAACCAGAATGTTAAAATAATTATAGCAACAACCTACCGTTAGTCAAATACAGGAATGTAACAGAAAAAAAAAGAAACAAGATAATGCACAATAAGACATCTTAAGTTTTAAAGCACGCTCTATATGAAACATACGTGGATAAATGCAATGCGCCGGAAACAAGTGACTAAAGAACACGGGCTACATCCGTAATGATGCAGTTATTTTCTATCATGTATATACATCTACAACATCACGCTATAGTGACTTAGATTGATCCATGATTACACTAAATATACACGTGTTTAATTTCCGAGATTCTTAGACTTCTTTTGCTTATCTAGCGATTCTAATTACTTTCTTTATACGTTTAAGACATAAGAATAAAAACATGATAACATAATTTGAAAAGAAGTCAGAGCTGTGACATTAATTAATGATGTTTTCGGCTTTATTCTAATTCTATTTGATTTAATTTGTTAAATTTCATTTCTATAATATACAATTTACTTGTTTTTTTCAATGAATAAATTTAAACAAATTATTTTAATCTATAATATATTCTAAACTGAACAAAACATAATAGAAAATACGTATTGGCACTGATAAGAACCACTCATCAAAATCATTAAAACGCATCTATGACAGTAGATTGGATATAACGTTTCTATCCTTTTCACATGTCATCACTACGGACATCAGTGAAGCGTATGTTCGAGAATATACGCAGTCGTTACTATCATCAATTATTCAGAACTAATTTTTGCAATAGGCAAACAATGTGAAGTAGCGATAAGAACGAGAAAATGTCTGAAAAATACATATATATATCTAGACGAAAAACAAAATACCAATAATAATAACTGGAATAATTAGATTGGAGGATACTTTAAAAACAAATAAGAAATGAACAGACAATACTCTTTCCTGTCATATTATTGTGTTCATCCGACATATCTTATTATAGATGATGACGAAAATTTCTCGACATGTCTTTATAGAAATTATCAATATTAACAAGAAGATGAATAAAAATAAGTTACTTTTAAAGCAAAAATACTACTTAGGTTAAAACATATTATCTTTAAAGGATAAAAAAAAAGAAGCAGATCTTTCTTTTCTTGAAAACCACATTTCTAAAAGTCTACATTATATTTCTTTTTTTGATACTATTACACTTCAATTAATATTCTATAAATCTTTATTTCCACGAGAGATTTTTCATTTCTTTTATCTTTGCTTTTTTTCAAATTAGGTTTATTAGAATCCGCTCTACAGAATAGAAATTCATCTCCGACATTAGAAATCTCCGAAGAAAATACAAATTCACTTTATTCAAAATGAATCTAAATCAGTGAAAAGGACAAGATTATGCATACTTTTATTACTTAACAGAAAACAAGCTGATCTCAAGACCAACTTCTATCTAAACTTATAGCTTACGGAATAAAGTCACTTTGCAGATGCTTCTGTTCTGTAGGAGGATTTAGTCTAAATAAAAAATTATTAGAAAACAAAAAAAATACTTTATTTCAAATAAATTTTTTTTAGTAAAATTATATAGAAATTCATTACATTTATTGACTTACTGCATAGACTAGTTTATGAAAATAAAATAAAAACAAAAGGAGCATAAAAAATATAAGACGAGTATATATTATTAACATTGTTTCATATAATGATATTTACTTTAAAATATTTAGAATACTTTCTTCATTAAGAAAATTTCACCACTAACACAATATTAGTCTTGAAAGTTGTCTCTCCCACTATTTTTCTTTTTTTCTTTAATTCCTAATGAATGAAATTTAAAGAAAGTATTATATTACTTTCATATATATCAGTTTTCTCTAGACGCTCATTATGAAATAAGCTTCAAACATATTCATCTGCCACGATATAAAATAAAACGAACAACTGTGCTATTAAAATTGAAAAAAAAAACCAAACAAAATAGAACTATTTAATTATCAATTCTTAGACATGAAAACAAAAAAAAAAAAAAAAGAAAAAATAATCAAAACAAACATGTTTAAAACTTCTCTTGTTTCATTATACTTGAACATTTCTTAAGTACTTAAAATTGAGATGACTTATAGTAATATTTTTGTAATTTCCATGTCTACAATCAAATAATGTCATGCTGAGAAGCAGTAATATTATATGTGAGATTTGCATTCAAGAATTAATCAACCCAGTTGCATATTGAATGTGTTTATTAAGATTTTATAGCAACCTTTTTTTGTATCTCATTGAGTATAAAATTGATTTCGAATAATTCAAGATGTAATTACAAGAGAAATAGCTTGAAGGAAATATTTTATACGCAGAATCTAATAACAGAAACTAATTTCATCTATATAGAACAGTTCAATAATATTTAGTAATGAATTTCATGAAAATTAATAATTAGATTTTAAATAGAATGAATGGTTCATAAACAATGATCTTCTTGTTATAACTACAACAGTTCGCTTAAGTTTTTTACTGATTTAAATCATATTTTAAAAAGTATTCATCTTTCAATTCTCTATGAAATTACTGATTTTCATTTTTATACATATTTGAAATGATAAATCATTAACCTAAATGCCATAATTTATCTAGAGCAACTTTTTTCATAGATTTTCTGTAATGAACATTAGGTTTCTTCAATTAACCCTTTACCCCCCAGTGGGTCATATCTGACCCATTGGTCGAACGATCACAGAAAATAAAGAAGGCATGAGACTGAAACCCTCCCCAGAC